AGGGTGTGAGCTGTGTGGTGTATGAGCAGGAGGGTGTGAGCTTTATTGTGGTGTGTGAGAGGAGAGGGTTGTGAGCTGTGTGGTGTCTGAGGAGGAGGGGGGTGTGAGCTGTGTGGTGTGTGATGGGGAAGGGTGTGGCTGGCAATTGTGCTGAGGAGAGAGAGTTGTTGGCAGCTGCGTGGGCGTGTGAGTGGGAGAGGAGTGTGAGCTGTGTGGTGTGTGGGGGGGAGAGGGGTTTGAGCTGTGTGGTGTGCTGGCAGAGGTGTGAGCTGTGTGGTGTGTGGGAGGAGGGGTGTGAGCTGTGGTGTGTGAGCGGGAGAGGGTGTGAGCTGTGTGGTGTGTGAGGAGGAAGGTGGCAGGCTGTGTGGTGTGGCAGGAAAGAGAGGGTGTGATCTGTGTGGTGTGTGAAGAGAGGGGTGTAGTGTGTGAGGAGGTGAATTGTGAGCTGTGTTGTGTGTGGGCGCGGGGTGTGTGCTGTGTGGTGTGTGGGGGGAGAGGGTGTGAGCTGTGTGTGTGTGGGGAAGACTTAGCTGTGTGGTGTGAGGTGGGAGGGGTGTGAGCTGTGTGGTGTGAGCAGGAGATGTGTGTCTGTGTGGTGTGTGAGTGGTAGAGGGGGTGTGAGCTGTGTGGTGTGTGAGGAGGAGAGGGGTGTGAGTGTGGTGTGTGAGGAGGAATTGTGTGTGTGATGTGCTTTGAGGAGGAGGGTGTGAGCTGTGTGGTGTGTGAGAGGTTGTGAGCTGTGTGGTGTGAGGAGAGGTGTGTGAGCTGTGTGGTGTGTGAGGAGAGGGTCATGAGTGTAGTGTGTGAGGAGAGAGGGTGTGAGCTGTGTGGTGTGTGAGGGAGGAGGAACGTGTGAGCTATTATTGTGGTGTGTGAGGGGTGTGAGCTGTGGTGTGTGAGAGAGAGGGTTGTAGGCTGTGTGGTGTGTGAGGAGGAGAGGTGTAGGCTGTGTGTGGTGTGTGTGAGGGGGTGTGAGCTGTGTGGTGTGTGAGGAGAGGGGTGTGAGTGTGGTGTGTGAGGAGAGGGTTGTGAGCTGTGTGGTGTGTGGGGGGAGAGGGGTGTGAGCTGTGTGGTGTGTGAGCGGGAGAGGGTGTGAGCTGTGTGGTGTGTGAGGAGGAGGGGTGTGAGCTGTGTGGTGTGTGAGCAGGGGAGGGGTGTGATCTGTGTGATGTGTGAGCAGGGGAGGGGTGTGAGCTGTATGTGTGGTATGTGAGCAGGATAGGAGCGTGAGCTGTATGGTGTGTGTGGCCCGTTTCTTGAGGACAATCACGTTCCACGTAATAATTTTGCCACTAAGTGGGTCCTTAATATTGCATAAGTTGCTAATATGTTTAAATCCCACCTCGCTGTTTCCAAAAAAGAGATTTGAGGCAGCTTATAATAAAATACAAGTATATTTCCTTCATAAAAGGAAAATGGATCCAAATCGTGAGAGAGAATAAGGCAATGTGCTAAAACAATGGTAAGGGTGGTGGAACAGCAAACCATGCTTTGAATTTCCCCCTTGGCCAAATGAAGACTCTTCAAATGAGGGAGAAATGAAAGAAAATAATCATACACGCTGTCTTGATAATGCCAATCCTTCCTAAGTCCTTCAGAAACTTAGAGGGCAGGCTATCTGAAACCAACGAGGCAAAACTCTCTCCGGCCAGGTTTGATCTCCTGTATCAGTCCAAGTGAGACAGCTCCGAGAGCAGACTGTCTGAGCCACGAAGGATCAGCAAGTTGTAACACACACCTCTCTGACCACGCTGAACATATAATCATTGAAATCATAGCTGTGCCTCCTGAGCCTTTATTTTGGACGCTGGCTCAGCAACCCAGGAACTTATAATCCACACTAGGACAGCACATCTCCCAGACATTTCAGATCATGGCTGATTTGTGCTAACTCTGCAGTAACCCCAACACAGAGACCATGGTTAGGAGGAAAGAAATGTCTGGAAAAAGTGATGGGGATCAACAGAGAAGTGTAAGGAAAATTAGAATAGAATATCCTAGAAGGCACTGAATATTCAGAAAGGAATTGCATTAGAAATTCTTAACATTAACAAAATTAACATGGACAAAATTTGATGGCTGCATCTAGTTACTAAATGACAAAGGATCTCTATATTAGGGCAGATACCATGGGATGGGCCTGAAAAGCATCGGTCTGAAGTTCAAGTGATTTTTTTTGTTAGTAGCCAAGGTGAAAAGAATGATGAGAAGATGGAAGGGTTGTCTTCAAACCAGGCATGTTTCATGGAGAATCACTTAAATTGAGTTGGACTTACTCATGGGAATGATAGTGTAATAGAAGGTCACATTCTTGATCAAGGACCTGATGCTTGCCTTTTTTATAGAAATAAACGAACTATACTAAGTTAATCATAAATAATAACTTTATGGCCAGTATTAATTACAAGGCTTGCTAAAGTGCACATGCAAACAGGATAAAACACCAAATTAATTGGTTGGTTGAAATTTACTGGGATCGTTTCCAGGAATTAGAGAAAAAGGAAATTAATGCTGGGCTGCAGGAGGAACTGTGTGGAAAACCTGCATTGGGAATGGTGGGTCTGAGGCTGGGAGCCGGGGCAATGGGCGCTGCAGACCAGATTGCACTAGCCAGTTGCTGACCACATGGCAGTGTACGTGGTGTGTGCTGTGCCATATAACACAAGACTGTGGCTTTGCTTATCTTCCTGCAAACAAGAGGCCAATCCATACTTAGGTGAGAATGTTGAGAGAGCAGAACGCTGTTAGGAGTTGACAGAGTGCATGAACAAACTGCCATAAGACTCCTTATCTGTGCACAGTAGGAAAAAAGTAACAGGTATGGGAGCATAGGTGGAGAAAGGCTATCTTCTCACTATCATACAACCTGAGTGCCTAGTGTATGTCTCCTAGCCCCAAGGATAACACGAATAACACAGACCCCGATCTTTGGGGGTGGAAGCAAAGCGGGAGGGAAAGATTAGTGGCACCTGAACTATAAAGATGTGTCCAAGGGCCATTCTAGAAGACAGAGCAAAGGTGGGAGAAGTGATGGACACAAGAAGGACTGGCCAATTCCAACACAGGAGGTGATACCTTGACCTCAGGCTTTACTGTACTGGGCAGAGGGAAGAGAGGACATTCAAGGCAGAGAGAGAAGTTAAGGCAAGGACATGGAGGTGTCGTAACTTTTGAAATGTTGATGTTTCTAATACTTGAATTCCTAGTCAGGGCTTTTTGGCTTTTCATTGGATTTAAAGAAAAATAATTCTCTTTATGCATGATTTCTATTATTTAGGATTCATTCACTAATGTAGAACAAATATAGTCATTCTAGGAGACTCGATACGAATACAAGGCACTATAGTTGATCATAGTTCCCCAGTGGAGCCTTGGACAGATAACTTCCTAAAAAGCTTCGTATTTTTTACTCTACTTATTATTAATTTAAACCTGCTTAGTGTGAACAGACAAAATTATCTGCCATTTACAATTCTCTTGTCTCTGTTTTCATAATCTACGTGCCTGGAGAGATCTGATCTTTCCTCGGGCCTGTCCTTCCTTACATTATGAATGTATCCACCTGCTTTCCCACCTCCTCACCTTCCTGGGTACCTGGGGTCTTCTTCAGACATTCCATTTTGAGCTTAATGCAGGTGGAGCTGATGAGTTCAGGTGTATCAAGGGGCTAGGACATTTACTTATTTATGGAGTAAACCTCTGGGGATATTCTGAATCAGATTATGCTAGTAGCAACTTTCGAGAAACTGCTGTCCTGAAAATGACTGATGGAATAGGAGCAAAATTTTAAAATCTCACTCATCACTCTGACAGTAATGATAAAGGACATACAGCTGCATCTGAATTAGTCCTACAAATGAGGGGAAACGGTCCTCAATAAAGGTTAGAAACAGGGCATGTAAGAAAGCTATAATAGTACTAGTAATTAGTGCCCTCTAAAGCTTTCTCCGAGGAAGTCTAATGAGAGGAGTTCAGGTTCTTCTTTACAGGTATCATAGCTATAACAATTCCTAAGATTGGGAAGGTGGTATGGAATCCATGGGGACCCAGGGCAATAAACAGGGCATCGAAGAGTAAAGGGAAGGCGTTTGCAGACCCAAAGCCTTCCTGCTGTCTCTGTAACTCCCAAAGGCCTCACCTGGTCTCAGGTCCCTTCAGATGGGTCCACCCTCCAGAAAGAATGAGGTAAAATTACCCGATTCTAGTAAAATTACCTGACTCTAGCCTGTTAGTTTAGCACATTACTTTTTATTACATCATAGGTTTTTCTCATCATCTAAAGAAACTACCTTAAACTAGACACGTGTGTATTGAGAGACAGAAAGACAACTTTTAACATACATCTGCTAATTTAGGAAGTCCAACAAATTTAAAAATAGTTTTTTGGGTTTTTTTTTGAGACAGAGTCTTGCTTTGCTGCCTTAGTTGGAGTGCAGTGGTACAATCTCAGCTCACTGCACTCCACCTCCCGGGTTCAAGCTATTCTCCTGCCTCAGCCTCCTGAGTAGCTGAGATTACAGGTATGCACCACCATGCTCAGTTAATTTTTGTATTTTTAGTAGAGACTGGGTTTTACCATGTTGGTCAGGCTGGTCTTGAGCTCCTAACCTTAAGTGATCCACCCACCTCAGCCTCCTAAAGTGTTGGGATTACAGGTGTGAGCCACTGTGCCAGGCTGTCAGTTGTTATTGAGTATTGAGGCTACACCAGGGTTCCAGTAAACTACAGCCCATAGGTGCATGGCCTGCAAAGCCTAAAACATTTACTATCTAGCTCTTTACAGAAAAAGTTCACCAACTCCCAGACTACACTGCAGCATCCCAACTTGAGAGAGGCATATATATATACACACACACACAAATATACATACATATACTGTATGTATACTGAATTATCAAGAAAATAAGTCACTCAAAGAAGATATTATGTATGGCTTTTCATTCATTATATCTTTTAAAACATCTTATGTCCCCAGTACCACACTCAGGCCACACCAAATATAAAGGGTTACAAATATTCAGATTTTATTATAAATAAAATACTGTTTTTCTTAAAACATAAAAAATGCCAAGTGTTGCATTTTATTAACCACCCTGGAGAGCAAGGCTGCAGAGATTAAGGCAAACAGCTAAAGTGAAGGCACATATAAAAGGTCCACAGTTGGAATTCAAAGGAAAAAATTCAGGGAAAAACAGCAGTATAATAATCCCTGTGTCACCCACCATTCTGCAGCAGCCATCCTGTCAATTACATTACATAAACTACAGATAACTGGAGCTAGACAAAAAAATAATGGCTGTGTTGCAGGAGTGTTAATTAAGGTATCATCTTGTAAAGAACCTTTTATTTTAAAAATAAAATTCTGTTTAAAAAATATACCACACAGGTGGACAAGAAAATAACAAAAAGTAAGTTAAAAGGAAACCAAACCAAACCAAACCACCCCATTGTTGCCTGAGACTTGCTGGAGTGAACTTCACCCAAACTAGCTTGGCAGTCAATCTTCAGTCCTTTTCTGCAACCTTGACCAAATGTATATGTTAGGATGTACCCACTTAATGACATGAACTAGCCAGGAAATGATGATATGAAAACTTGGCAAGAGCACGCCATATCTCCTGCCATTGTAAAAGAGGCCTGGGAGAAGCAGCAGAGTGAAAGCTCAGGAGTGTATCAGGTCAAAACACTTGTGGTAAACTCTGGTATATCCCAAGCAGATGGAAACAGGAAGTGGGATCATCAAGAACTAAGTTACACCACCTCTCCCAGTCTACCCATCAGTAGCATTGTTCCTGATGCCCTAAAAGTGCTCAAAATGCACTCTCTTATAAAATTGACCCATCCAGCTCCAATAGTTGCCAGAAAGGGCATTTCTCCCTCATTCCTGGCTAGTCCCACTATGGCGTCAAAGATCCTCTTCAGTAAACTTTTCTAATCCTACCATAGCTTGTCAACCTGGCATTCCTGCTCTGGAACATTGTAAAACCATCGTGCTGCAGGTTAGGATCATCAGGACTGCAATGGAAGAGGACCCAAGTTACCTCTTCACAGTGGCTGGGTGTGGAGGAAAGCAATGATATTAATTTTAGAGAATGGAGATGCTGCAAACACAAGGCAGAGAGCAAAGTAGTGGGAACAAGTACAATCCAAAGAATTCTAGATGGAAGGGAAGGAGGTATTCAGATACACTGTGCCAGTGAAGAGGAAAAATTGAGCAAAGTGAACAGAGAGTGCCATTCTAGAAATAGGACCAAGTATATTTACATAAATTCCTTATTCTATAATCATGATAAACAAAACACAAAACATTCACACAAAAATATAAATTTGAAATAATTAATAGCACCAGTGTGTCAGATAATAGTTTCTTTCCCCCCACCCCGCCCCTGCTACGCAAAGTACAAAGTTGCATAGTGTTAAAGGCTATATATGAATCTCAAAGGCGGGTTGGTAGGAGGAAGGGGGTGTGTGGCAGGGAATTGTCACATTGTGGTCTTAAAACCACAGATCTGAGGATCAAAAGTTGAGAAGCCCACTAGGAAACTCCACGTAAGGGTCTTCCCTCTACACTTAGAGGGAAGGTTTAGAGTGGATTTAAATCACAAAGTGCAGGAACTCAATAGCATTGGCAGCTGTGTGAAATACTGAGTGCAAGTATTTGCCACCAGGATTTGGCAAACAATGTTTTTTGAGGGATTCTGGAAGATGGAAACATCAGAAGAAAACTGGAGCTAAGGGTCAAATGTCTCATCTCTCTCCAACAGAAGAACAAATGGATACACGGGATTCTGACAGTACAAGCTGCCATCTAAGTTTTATCCCTTTGCCAGAAAAGACTAGGATGAGGAGGCTTGTTTTTCTTCTGCTTTGTCAAGACCTTAGGGATTAACTGTTCTCTGCCAGATACTTAACACTAGTTCCAAGACTAACTAATAAAAAAGCTGTAAGAATTAGTTTGATTTTGAAAATAAAACTTTAGTGGTTATCATATCCCTATTTCTTCTGTGTAAGTTCCGTTTATAAGAATATCAAAAGATGTCTTTTGGTCTATTGGTGAGTGCAAGCTGCCCATCCAGATTTAAATTATCAGCTGCCCAAAGATCTGAAAAAAGTTCATCTTCCTAGTCAATTATTAATATACTAGAAAAATCTTCTTCAGCCATGTTCACCTGGAGACTTTTATAAATAATTGCATCCTGACCCATGGATGGCTCAGTGTCCTACACTCAAAATAGCTAAAAGCACTGATGGATGGCTACCGACATTCTAAACGACCAATACCTTTGGCACAGGATGTTTATTTCCTTTTGCTTAGAAGGAAGAGGGGCAGGAGATGCAGATGCATTTTCTTTATCCATGGACTGGATATACTGGCCATCACAATGCTACTGTTAGTAGCCAAACTTTTCCTTCATAGAAACAAGAGTACTGAGACTGAGGAGGTTCTGCTGGTATCGATGAGACAGGGGAGGGCTACTTGCTCTGCCCCAGCATACACGGGCTCACACGATGTGCTTATGCCACTGTACAGTAATGTAGGATGCCACGTCCTCACGCAAATCAGAAGGGAAAGTGTGGGTAAGGTAGCAACGTGAGTGGAAGAGAGACTTTATTAGATAAAACCCTTTGTTCCCGATTCAGGATGTTTAATTTGCTTCTCTTTAAACTTTGTGACTTTTCCTGGTTCAAAAGGACAGTGATGGACAGCAGCAGAGGAGTGGGGTCTGAAAAATGCAATCTTTGTGTCAAGGCACTCTGTGGCCTCACAACTGCCCCTGTCAGAGGGATGCTGCCTTCCAGCCCTAATGACGCTAGGGCTTTTCAATGGACGGGGTGTTGAAGCAGCCAGATGGTAAGGTCTTCCTGATGTCTTCCAGATTGCGAATGTCCTTCATGATCTCCTCGATATCTCGATTATAGTCCATGATGGCAGCCTCCTGCTTCTTGGCTTCATTCTCCAGGTCAGACACTTTCCTATCAAGATCGCTGACCTTCATTTCATCTTTGGCTTTGTTTAGGGTGCCTTCAATCTCGTTTAGCTTATTCAGGTCCACTGTGTCGAGCTGCCCTGGAGGTCAGAAAGTACACAGAAGAGAACAGACACCTTCAGGAAGAATGATCCCTTCACAAGTACCTCCACTAGTCTCTAGGCCCAGCAGCTGCCACTCTGCACAGGCAGCCCTGCAAATGTAACTTGCAGATTGTCGATGTCACACAATGGTATAAAATACGCAAACCAAGTACAAACGCTGACCTAACCCAGCAGGGATAGGTCTGAGCATATAATTAATATCAAGCTGGGTGTTTTTTTCTGAGACAATGGTTTTTTGCAGAATGTTTCCTAAATGCACAGCTACCATGTTCTAGACCTTAAGCTTCACTTGTGGTTTTGAGGGTCATCTGATAACATTTAATACCTTTTCCAGGTGTATACATGTAAGCTATGTGTCATTTTAGTGCCATCAAAGATACACAAATCTCTAAGATCCCTAATCCCTCAGCTCTTAGAGATTCCAGGGAAGATGGGTTAGTTTTAGAAGCTCACTTTCTGCTTTCAGGAGTTAGACACTATTAGGAGCCTTCCTATGGAAAATGGCCAGGAGTAAAATGCTGAAATAATTTCAATTGGTCTTCACTTTAAGCTTAGCAAGAAAAAGAGGCTCTTTGGAAAGAAATGAAACGTTTCCATAACAAACAAAAGCAGACACAATGGACAGCATTTCATGCATACTTGATTAAAGTCTCACAAAACCATTTTACATCAGTGATTCTCAGATGTTAAATAATTTGCTCAAGTTTGCACAGCTTATAGGCAACAAAGCAAATACACTAACCCGAGTCAGACTAATGTTAAAAGTCTACCTGTTCCACAAAAAGCTTTCTCTTCTAGCTTACTTTCATTTTATATCCATCTGTTGGTACATAACTTATTCTTGACATTTGAGACCAATAAAAAATACCCCTGTAGCCCCCCACCAAAACAAAATGCACCAGGCTTTAAATGCTAGCAAATTAAAATATAATGCCTTGCTACAAAGAGTCCTGGCTAGAGTGCTGACAGTTTATAACGGAGTCCGGTGACAAAAATGCATCTGTCCCAAAATGAAGCCTGCTCCCTATCACCCTACCAAACGGGATTAAAAGAAGGTTTCCGTATGCATAGATTTCCTTGAAAAATCAAGGTTTTTCTCTCTTTTGGCATGAAAGCTTTCCCCTCAACAGATTGTGCTTACTTAGCAAATGAAGAGAATTCCAGGCAGTAAAGTCATGACCAGTTTTAAGTGTTCTTTTTCATTTTTTAAATTGAGACAGGGTTTCGCTCTGTTGTCCAGGGTGGAGCGCAACAGCTCACTATCACCTCAAACTCAAGTGATGCACCTGCTTCAGTCTCCTGAGTACCTAGGACTACAGGCGCATAGCACCACACCCAGCTAATTTTTAAAATATTTTGAAGAGACGAGGTGAGATCTCCACCGCTATATTGCCTAGGCTGGTCTCAAACTCCTGGCCTCAAGCTATCCTCCTTCCATGGCTTCTTAAAGTACTGGGATTACCAGTGTGAGCCATCACACCCAGCCTGTGTTCTTTTATTCTACTATTGAAATTCTTTACTTTAAATCCCTTAAAGATACTGCCAGCAAGATGAGTTAAGAAAAATCACTCTTTAGTTATACAATGATACTGGACCATAAATGCCACCCTAGCTGGCAATATATCTTCAAAATACAAAAAGAAACTCCTCAGACCACAATGTTCTATTTAGGGCAAGGTCCACAGAAGGCACCTAGTAAGTGCTTGTCACATTAACACGGCCTAAAGCCATGATTCAGGTCACACTGTAAAGCTGACAAATCGTCAGTATGGTAAAGAAGCAAGTTGCTCTTAAAGACCCTACTGTGCAAGACAAACACTGATTTTATAAGGCTTTCAAAAATAAGCAAGAGCAAGAGGAAATATTAATAATTTAATTAATGACTTAAACGGGATTCATGTAAACCTGTATCATCTGCTTTTGAGTCAACTGTACTGTATCAGATCCCAAGAACAGTACAAAAGATTCAGAGACTGACAAAAATGACTCTATAGCTACGTACCCAGCTGTTCCAAGAGGTCATTAATAATGCTGAGGAGGCTAGTAACAGAGTTCTTGGCTTTTCTGGCATTGATCTCGGCTTCTTGAGCAGCCTGTGAAGCCTGTAAGGGAAAAATGAGGCAAAAAGTCCTGACTGTATGTTTTCATCTTCTTTAAATCTTTTTTCCCAATGACCCAACAAATTTAAATTTGCGGATTTTCTTCCCTTTTCTAACTTAGGAAATTGAAATCTCTTACTGCCTTTTTTCTTTTCTTCCCCGGTGGGGCTGCTGCATATCTTCATATTGAGGATGTTATTATTTCTACTTCATCAAAGTTACGAGTAGGCAGTCAGGATGCCTACACTCACTAACTCACTATATTTGTATGTCAAAAATTATCTCCTTTTCTCACGTTCTCACTCAATAATATATGGAGGTATATGCATAGTAAAACCTATTAAGCAGAAACAAGTTATTTTTTAAGGATGATTACAGAAACTATGTTTCAGAACCAAAACATGTCCTTCGGGACACTCTTAGGAACTTATTAGAAATGTCCTATTCTTTGAAAATTTTCATAGTTAAGTAAAGCTCTTCTGTAAACTCCCCTTCCACATGCAATGACCCAGCCACAATACCCCTGACACACATACTCGTTTATTGGGGCAATATAATTTACATTTTAAAAACCAAACAAAGGTAAATACACTTGGGAAATTCCATGAAACCTGAACAAATAACTGTGCATGAGTCATAGGAAACAGCAATGGAAGAGGAAGTATCTAAGTACCAGAAAACAGATGTTCTCACAAATAAATCTAGTTGAGATTTAAGTGAGTGGCTTTGAGCCTCTTACCACATAATTGCTTTTCCTAGTTTTGGGTCAGGACAACGTAAACATTTTAGGATCAAAACAATGTGAAGATTTAAAAAAGAACAAGAAAACAAGGCAAAAAAACCTTCACAAATAAATGATTAATCTCTGTCCAAATGGCAGCTGTCCTTATTGAGCATCCACAAACTTGTCTGCGAGTATAAAACGAGGGAGAAAGGACCGTGCCAGGGCCGGCCAAGAGCGATGTCCCTGCATTTAACCTGTGGTCTCCAGCCTCCTCTTTCAAAAGAATGAAGCTATAAACCTTCATTCTTCTGGTTAAAAAATACATTACAGACTCAAATAATACTGGCCAAATGTTGGCCTTTCAGAATTGACAGAAATACAAATGAGATAGTACATGTGAGGGTGGTTTGTTTCCTTAGAAGTTATTTACCAAAAATAATAAAAGATCTTCTTTTACCCTTTGACCTAAACCAAAATCCTTTTTTTGAAGTTCCTAAAGAATACACTGTTTTCTTTTTTCAATATGTTTTAAATCTAATGTTTCTATAACCATATTAAAAATGAAATCCATATATGCTCAACATATGTGAGAAATATCTATTTTTTTAACTTTATATTAATTTTTTTTTTTTTTTTGAGATGTGGCCCAGGCTGGAGTGCAATGGAGTGATCTTGGCTCATCACAACCTCCACCTCCCAAGTTCAAACGATTCTCCTGCCTCAGCCTCCTATGTAGCTGGGATTACAGGCGCCCACCACCATGCCCACCATGTTGGCCAGGCTGGTCTCGAACTCCTGACCACAGGAGATCTGCCCACCTCGGCCTCCCAAAGTGCTGGGATTACAGGAGTGAGCCACGCACCCAGACACCTTTATGGGAATTTTTACTTGAGCCACACCATGACAGACAAAATAAGGATAATGCAAACCAACACCCACCCCCCACCCCCACCTACAAAAAGCATAATAAAATCAGGTGTTTGCACAGGGAGAGTTTCTTTTATCACTTCCCTAGAGTCTTCACTAAGATTAACAGGCTTTGTACTTCTTTTTTCCATCCCAAGGTGAAAATGACCCACACTGAGGGACTCTGTTTTTTGGCAGCAGTGAACAAAGGCCTCTTCCTTGCCACTAAAAGTGAGCAAGTAAACAAGTTCACGTATGTCATTACCATGATTGCTACACCCAACTGGAAAAAGAATATTCCTACTGTGACTCCATTAAAGTCGTTTCAAAGCAAAATATAGCATAGAACAGAAAAATGGACCTTAGTTCTTCCTTGGGCCATTCATTGACAAGTCAATTCTGTTATAAACAGTACCTTGCATATACATTACCACAAAAGGTGAAAAATTAAACTAGATGTAAGTTTCATATGTTTTGGTTGGGTGGTGGACAATGCTATCTTCAAAAATTTCTTATATACAAGAAACCTGTCTTTGTCTCTAAGGAGCAAGGTGCTGGGAGAACAAGAATAGGAGGAAAATTAACTTTTCGCTGCATTCCTTTTTTAATAACATTTATGAATTACCCATTGAAAAATATAAACACATACTTTTTAATGTCCTAAAACCTCAAACATGTAAAATGATGTTTTACTTTTAACTGAGTAACTTTGGGACACAACAACTGTGCAACAAAAATACCTGGCAGAAGATCCAAATTCTTTGTCTTCTATGTAAGCTACTAACCCAATTCTTGACGAGACAACGTGATGAAAAACAGAAGTCAATATAAAAAAGATCCTTCTTAACAAGTGGGGGATCTTTATTATTAAACACTGTTCACTTTCTGCCAATGAGCAAATATACCAAAACCTCTTACCATCCCTGCCATCATCATGTCCTGGTCAGCGTCATCTTGTTTTCGCTTTAGCTCTTTTTCTGCTTCCTGTAGTTGCTTCAACATATTGTTCACCTCATTATCCAGATCTGTAACTTCTGCAAAAGTTCTTTCAGCTTCTGCCTTGGTGCTGGTGGCATTCTAGGCACAAAAGCAAATTGCAATTTTTTTGAAAAAGCTTTCCTTTTTCTCAAGTATACTCCCATTCCTTTTATAATTTGTAAAATGGCTCAAAAATATAATCCAGAAACAATAATATATTGATTTATACTATCTCATGACTTACATTATCAATTTGGGTTATAAATTATAGTAAAAAAAAAAATTACTACCCACATGATAACATTTTGTATTTTATCTAGCACTTTCATTTGTATCCTCTTCTTTAATCCTGGAAACTTCTTTTCTATTATTGCCATTTTTAGTTGGGGTTACACAGATAGCAAATAATAAACATTTAATGGCATACACTTTCTACAACATCATATTGATTAGATGCTTTCACTGAGATAAAATTTAAATTCAAAGCTAGCTTGGTTTCTTCTTGGCAGTTCATCATAATGTACAAAAAGACCACAATCCTAAAATATGAGTATTTTATAAAAGCCTACTGTTCTAAGGAAACTAAGAGGTTTCTGAGATTCTTAAGTATCTAATTCTAAAATTGCTCCAATCTCTCTTTTAAACAAAACAGACTGACCTTGAAATAAGAGAAAGCCAGACTAAAAAACATTATTCTTTAAGATGAATCCTAGCAGTGGCAGCTATGGGAAGGAGTAGCTTCCATATGGCGATATGCTTGAAAGGGGGACTTGAAAGTTGTATTGGTAAGGCACACTACATAGTATTGAAATAAATACCACCTGTCTGGGTCAAAGAAGAATGTTTATTTAGAAAAAGTCTGATTCTTTGTGGGAATGGTCTCTACAGACCTCTGAAGCCAGACCTCACACTGAGACACAGTAGAAATTTTAGAGTAAAGCACCCTTTTACTGATTCCCCCTCCTCAATCAATGTGGATACCTACTCTCACACCTAGTCAAAAGAAAAAAAAAAAAAAAGACAAATATGGTTTAAGACAATTTTACTGAAGTTCAGGGGAAAAGTCTGCAAGGGCTCTGAGGGTCTGGAAAGAAACTGGAAGGTGACTAGAGAAAGGTATGGGCAGGGACTCTTGGAGAAGAGGAAACGCACACCTTTTGGACAGCGCTCGCAATCCTCTCCGCCTCATGGGCCTTGTTCTTGGCCTCTGTGGCGTCCGCCGCAGCGTTGCCCAGGGCCTGCTGGGCTTCCCTGGTCTTTTCATTGGCTTCAATGATGGTCTGGTTGATGGCAGGAATCTTCCTTAGTGCCTCCTCTGCGGCCGTCTTGTTATCGTTCACGCGCCTATCAAAATCTGAAACGAGTTCAAGGACACATTTGAGCTAAACTCCCAACAAGTAAAAAGGGGGCCTTTCAGGGAGTTCCAACTGAATTTTGTTTTTGAACAATGGAAGCCAGGGTAAAAAATGGAAGACAGCACGGGCTGAAGTTTTAGAAATTACACATCTCTACAGAAAAGGTCTCCCAGGTAGTGTTACAGAAATGTTCCCCGTTTCTGGAAATAGAATTCTTACTTGAACAATGTGCTTTAAAATGCAGAGTGCTGGGCATCCCATTACCACTACCTCAACCATGATTAAAAGCTGCAATTTATTTAGTGTTTACTGTGTGTCGGGTACTGAGTTAAGAGTTTTGTGTCTTTGACATAAAATAGGCTGTATGATTTTTATAAGAAAATTGAGGATTAAAGAAGTTAGATGACCTGTGGTGCAGGGTGCAGGGTTTTGAACCAAGACCCCCTGACATTAGAGCCCATACTTTGAAATACTACTTTTTTTTTTTTTTTTTTTTTTTGAGAGACAAGGTTTCACTCTGTCACCCTGGCTGGAGTGCAGTGACACAATCACTGCTTACTGCAGCCTTGACTTCCTGGGCTCAAGGGATCCTCCCACCTCAGCCTCCCAAGTAGCTAGGACTACGGGTGTGTGTCAGCATGCCTGGCTAATTAAAAAAAAAAAAAAAAATTGTAGAGATGGAGTCTCACTATATTCCCCAGTGAGAAACTGGTCTTGAACTCCTGGCCTCCAGGGATCCTCCCTCCCAAAGTGTTGGGATTACAGGCCACCGTGCCTGGCCCATACATTCAACTAGTATCCTGTAAAGCATCCTGTAAAGCTTCTCTATTTATAGAACCTATGACTATTTTATCAGACATGAATTCACAGTTGCTCAGTGAATTGGTCACATTTCTCTTCTGTCTGGGGTGAAGAAAAAAAAAACCAACAAAGCATCAGATGCCACTGGCAGAGAAAATGAAAGATAATCTCCATTTACCTATGTAAGTTCTCTTTTTTTTTTTTTTTTTTTTTGAGATGGAGTCTCGCTCTGTCACCCAGGCTGGAGTGCAGTGGCTGGATCTCAGTTCACTGCAAGCTCCGCCTCCTGGGTTTACGCCATTCTCCTGTCTCAGCCTCCGGAGTAGCTGGGACTACAGGTGCCCACCACCTTGCCCGGCTGGTTTTTTGTATTTTTAGTAGAGACGGGGTTTCACCGTGTTAGCCAGGATGGTCTCGATCTCCTGACCTCATGACCCGCCCATCTTGGCCTCCCAAAGTGCTGGGATTACAGGCTTGAGCCACCGTGCCTGGCCTGTAAGTTCTCTAAATAGGCATCTTGATTATGTGAGTTTGCCTAATAAGAAAATATCTTTAAAAAAAAAAAATCCATACTGAAGTATGCAGGGATAAAATGACATGAGTTCTGGGATTTCTCTTTGAAATGCTTTAGCATAAAAAAAGTAGGGAGCTGGGGATGAAGTAATAAATATGGTAAAAGTTGTAATTTAAAAAAAAATCACTCTAGTGGTAGAAGCATTTGCCCCTGTTATCTCAGCCTTTTCTACCTTTCAAGTTGTTGAGAATGTCATTAGCTTCTTGTAAAGTATCACGTCCCTTCTTTGCAGCTTCTTCGGCGAGGGCCTTGGCAGCATCAGCTCGGGCTAGGAGTTGGTCTGCGGTCTGCAAACACATGGCAGATGAGAGGATGAACCCTCAAAGCAAATCCCTTCTGTCTCCTGGACAGACAAGGCTCTCCAGAGGTGCTACCCTGAGACTTGCCAGCATACAACATGTTAGGGTGCTCTCTCAGCACTATGGTCTGCTGTCTGCATCAGAGAGACAAGATCACCACAGACCCATTTGGACTGTTCAAATGTTGCCTCAAGAAATGAAGCCACCTGCAAATCAAACCAACCTGCTGTTCAGTCTTTCCTTTCTCCAGAAGGTTCTTGACTTCAAGTTCCTTCCCTCTCATGTCTTCTCTGAGGTCCTCATAATCTTTCAACTTCTGGTCAATCAGACGTTCCAGATTCTCAGCTTCCATCTTTATGTTATTTGCTTCATTCTGTGAAAATCAAGTAAGATCACTACACTTTGGATAAAACATTTAAACTAATGAAAAGGTAGGCTTAGGAACTCTGTAACACCTAATACTCAATTGATATTTTTAAAAGAACTGCACAGATCAAGATTTTATGGGCTTTCTTTTTTTTAAATGAGATATTTTAGACTCACTGAAATTCACAGCATCCACATACAGTTTGATGAGTTTTGACAAACGTATTTCTGCATAACCAACACCCCAATCAAGATACAGATTTCCATCACCCAAGAAGCTCCCTTTTCTCCCTTTCCACCTGATCTCTACTCCATCTTTCCAACACTGTGCCTGCCATTGTTCTGATTTTTATCATCATAGACTAATTCTGCCTCTTTTCTAATTCTAAATATACAGAATCAGACAATCTGTACATGTCTGAAGAGACCTAAACCTTTATGATAAAAATCAAGTCAACACCTCAGATATAAGAAGTGAAACTTAGTAAATCTCAAGCTTAATGCAAAAAATACACCATTTATACAGAGCTTGGAGTGAGGATCCATGATTAGAGTACAGATATTAAATAAAATCCTACCAATTCCAAAATATTTTACCTGCCCCACAACATCCTGCTACAGTTCTTTAATTAAACCATTCTCTCTTATTTCTCTCTAGGTCTCTACTAGACAGAGCCTGGGAGTAAATGTCTACATGTACTCTGTTTTAACCAATTCAAATGTATTATAATTTGGATTTGTACTAAAGACTTAGGAGTGATTGTTCATATCATTAAAGTAGTCTTTGCTATTTAATGTTTACAATCACAGGATTCTTTATCTTGACAAGTGTTTGTTTTTGTTTTTTTAAGAGATGGGGTCTCACTATGTTGACCAGGCTGGTCTTGAACTCCTGGCCTCAAGCGATCCTCTCACCCCACCTCAGCCTCCCAGGGTTGGCATTACAGGCGTGAGCCACCATATCTGGCTACCTTGGTAAGTCGTATTAGCGTATGTGAAATAGACTCAACTTTACCAGCGAGTCAGTGGGAGGACAGAGGGAGGTGCAGAGCAGTCGGCTCTCACATAGACTTGGGGGAGAGACAGGGTGGGGCTGTGCGTACAGGCTGCCCCCATACCTCTAGTGTCTCAGAGTCCAAAGGGCTCAGCTGAGCTACGCTGGCATAGATCTCCACAGCTTTGTCACCGGCCCTTTTGGCCTCCTCATGTACTCGGGCAGCTTGTTTTTCCAGATCCTGTGAGATGTTCTTCGCTTGTTCATACCTAAGATACAAATAATGTGATTTAATGACAACTTAGCTGCTTTTAGCATCTTAATGTTAACCAGATTAACATGATCATGTGATAATATGCCCAAAACCTCAAAGGAAATGCTACATTAAAATGTTTGCATTTTAATAACAACATTTTGCATATTTACATTTTCTCTTATCATTTCTATTTATACTGTATGGCTTGGCGGGTGCAGTGGCTCACACCTGTAATCCCAGCACTTTCGGAGGCCAAGGTGGGCGGATCACCTGAGGTCAGGAGTTTGAGACCAGCCTGGCCAACATGGTGAAACCCTGTCTATACTAAAAATACAAAAATTAGCCTGGCGTGGTGGCAGGTGCCTATAATTCCAGCTACCCGGGAGGCCAAAGCAGGAGAATCACTCGAACCCGCGAGGCAGAGGTTGCAGTGAGCCGAGATCACACCACTGCAGCCTGGGGGACAAGGGCGAGACTTGGTCTCAAAAACAAAAAAAACAAAAAAAAAAACAAAAGAAAAAGAAAAATTTTTCTATAATGTATGGCTTACCATATATTTTCTTATTTCAGACACCCTTTAAAGATGTGTAGTTCAATTATGTTTCCTCTACTTACTCTATTATATTTTTTTCTCTTCTTCATTTGTGCAGAATTTTAAGTATCATGGCTCATCTTGTTACTATTCTCTGTAGTTATAACAGTAATTGAATTAAACCAAATCTCTGTGGCTCCACATGCCCTTCTCTACTTACTGTGCCATTTCAAAAGCATGATTAACAAAGGAAATCTTACTGCATGAATGCATGCCCTGAATCCACCAGCATTTAATTTTTCATTGAATTAGTGTTACTTACCAGAACATCTGAAGGGGTGTAAACCACTTTTAAATTATACTCACTTCCTATTAAGCTCTTCAATCTCAAATGCTGTTTGATTTTCTCCTGCCAATGTCCTCAAAAGCAGGTTGTATGCCTCAGTTGATGTATCATTGGCTGTCTTTGCCACTCGAACAATGTCATCAGCTTCCTGTTTATGACTATACAGATAAAACAAAAAATAAGCCATGAGACAACCATCTGATAGGGAAATAAGTAAAATTTAGGTAATGCTTACTTTATTATTATTATTATTTTTTGAAATGGAGTCTCGCTCTGTCACTCAGGCTGGGGTGCAGTGGCGCCATCTTGGCTTATTGCAACCTCCGCCTCCCAGTTCAAGCAATTCTCCTGCTTCAGCCTCTTGAGTAGCTGGTATTACATGCATACGCCACCATGCCCAGCTAATGTGTCTTTAGTAGAAATGGGATTCGCCATGTTGGCCAGGCTGGTCTCGAACTCCTGACCTTAGGTGATTCACCTGCCTCGGCCTCCCAAAGTGCTGGGATTACAGGCATGAGCCACTGCGCCCAGACTACTTTATTATATGTACATATACTAACATGGGCAAGAATTCTACAAATATTGGAAAACCTCATTCATTTGGAATTTTGCCATCATTTCAGTGAGGCTGAATTTATGAATAGCCTTCTAAAACTGAGATGAGAATATTTTCCAAAAAATTATTGGTATAAATTTATAAAAGAAAATGTTTATAATTATAATTCTTCAGAAAAACTATTTTTAAATTTAATTGAGAGTAATGTATATATAAAACTGTGTATGCCAGCAAGACATCATTTATCTAATCATAAACAAATCCCACGCCTAATCTTTATTAACAACAATCTGCTAGTTTCACTCAGTTACTACAGTCTTAAATAAGTTAAAAATCTAAAAATGTTATGGTTTTGAGATATATAAATATGAACTGTCTTCAAGCCACTGTATTCTAATATTCAAAGTGTGAATATTCTAATGTAAAACTAAAAGGAAGAAAAGAGTATACACAGCCGATAACATCTTAGAAAAGAGAGCAAACCTTGCAGAAGTGGGTTATGTGGAAAGTGTTTATGGGTTATGGAATAAGACAACACACACACACACACCATAACGGAAGCCACAACTTAACCATTAAACAGAGGTCCAGAAGTTACCGTTCAGCAAGCTTTCGAGCCTCTTCTGCCAAAAGAGTCATGTTGTTTGGGTCCCCTGTAGATTCTGGCTGAGTGACTGACTGCACAGGAAATAAAGCACTTATTCTCAAAAGACTGAATTATTTCAATTTAATAAAGCAAGAATCAAAACTAAATTTTTGTTAGAGGGCAAAAAGAATGCCTCTTCCTTTTTTTTTTTTTTTTTTTTTTTGAGATGGAGTTTTACTCTCGTTGCCGAGGCAGAAGTGCAATGGTACAATCTCAGTTCACCGCAACCTCTGCCTCCTGGGTTCAAGTGGTTCTCCTGCCTCAGCCTTCCAAGTAGCTGGGATTACAGGCATGCGCCACTATGCCCAGCTAATTTTGTACTTTTAGTAGAGATGGGGTTTCTCCATGTTGGTCAAGCTGGTCTCGAACTCTCGACCTCAGGTGATCTACCCGCCTCGGCCTCCCAAAGTGCTGGGATTACAGGCATGAGCCACCGCGCCTGGTCCCAAGAATGCCTCTTCTTATTTTCAGGGATCTTTATTTAATATTACCACCCTCGATTGCAGATTCTTTCTATTTTCAGTAAAGGATAAAGGAAGATTAAACTGCCTAGTACCATAGAAGGAACAAAGCTAGAGAAATAACCCAGATGTCCCTTGGTTTTTATCCAGTTTGTAATAACTGTTTCATGCCAACTATGAGCAATGTGGCTTTCTTGCTCCATAATTGGGGACAAACAGAAAGATGCATGGAGTCAATTTAGTTGAAGAAGCACTCCACTGCCAGTAACAGACTTGCTACAAATCCCAAGGGCCTCCCCCATCCCCACCTCAGACGTTTGCAATCACTTACCACATTGGCAGCAGCGACTTTTGCTTTTTCAAGTTCTCTGGACGCGATTTCAATCAACCTCTCTGTGTTCTCTACATGGGCACGTGCTTGTTCAGCCAAGTTTCCAGTCTCTTCAATGGTATTCCGGATATTTTGTAAACGGCTAATTTGGCTGGACAGACTGTTATTCACTCTCTGTAGGCGATCCATCAAATTCTGGTCAACATCTAAAATGGTTTGCAGAAGAAAGTCTGTAAATTATCTGAAGAGGATCGTATCATCTCACATGAAATCTGAGGCCCTATGTATCTTTACTCTTCAAACATAGCAGCTTTCTGCCAGGTTTCTGCAAAGCCCCTGGCATAGCTGGACAGCCTTTACCACGCCCAGTAGGTCCTTCTCTGTATACTCATCACACTTCTCCAACTGTGTGCCCATCTGCCCACTTGACTATGAACTCTTTCTTACTCATCACTATATCGCTGGTCTTACGCAGTGGATGGCAAAGAGAAGACACCCAAGGAATGTTTGATGAAGGCAAGAATGACTGACTTTAATACCAGCACATGCAATTTAGTCATAAATATACAACGTTGTTAAAAATGCTGCCAGCCCTAAAAGCCAAACATTTTTCAAAACCCAGAAAAAACCAGGTTTAAAACATACGTTGAAGTATGACAAATTAAACTCATTTTGCATTTTAAACTAAATAGACTCTTCTGCCACCCCCATGCCCTAGCATATCAGTGTAATTTCTTTCAAACTCATCTCTATTTTTGAATAGTTCTTAAAATTATTCTTTATTAATATGCTCATTCAACTTAAATCTCATACTCAGGTCCTAACAAATCAAAAGATAAAATATAGCCCTGTTATTATTAAAACTTTCATGTATCGTGAGGTTTTATTAATATATAAAAACCATTAAGTAAATTGACCAATTCATATTTCAGCATCATGCTCAGTGTTGGGGTCTAAATTTTCTAAGGAACGTAAAAAATAAAATAAAAAATAAAAAAAGATGAGAAGTCAAAGGTAAGACCAACAAAGATGAATACAGGTTTGGAAAAAACCAAACTGAAGCGGGGCTACCAAATGCACGTACAGAGGTGATATTCTATAAACTCTTGCCTAACTGTGTATGGCGGTCCTGCTTGGAGGGTTACTCAATTATTTGATAATGTAAAAATTTTTTGGCTGGGCGCAGTGGCTCATGCCTGTAATCCCAGCACTTCGGGAGGCCGAGGTGGGCGAATCACGAGGTCAGGAGATCAAGACCATCCTGGCTAACATGGTGAACCGTCATCTCTACTCAAAATACAAAAAATTACCCGGGCACGGTGGGCATGTGCCTGTAGTCCCAGGTACTTGGGAGGCTGAGGCAGGAGAACCACTTGAACCCAGGAGGCAGAGGTTGCAGTGAGCCAAGATCAGGCCACTGCACTCCAGCCTCAGTGACAGTGACTCTGGCTCAAAAAAAAAAAAAAAAAAAAAAAAAAAAAGCAGCTTATGAAAACGCATGCCTTTCATGATTTTTAAAACTATTTTAAGACACCCTGTAATAGAACAGATTCAAAAAATGCTTGAAATTTCAATATCAAATAGTTTTTTATCTGTTGGAAAATCACCCTATAGTTACTATATCTTAAAGCAGTAAGTTTGTCAGGTTGTTTTTTGAATTAGTGTTTAAAAAATGAAATAATTTATAATCTACAAGTAGTTCAAATATTGAGAAAGAATTTTATAAAACCATACTAATTAACCTTGCTTTAGGAGCCACATCTAAAGATTAGTCCACCTCACTGAAGTCACGCACTGTTCAATCATGCATACCTTTGACATCCTGGGCCTCACGAAGGAGGTCCATAACTTCCCTCTCTGCTTCCTTTAGTCTATCCTCGAAGGCTTGATCCGTCACCATCTCATCCCCAGTTCCAAGGTTTGCTATGAGACTCTCTAATTCCTGGAGCTTCACTCGATGATCAGCAACCTAAACACATGGAAGAAAGAAAAGGGAAAGGTAGGACACACAAGTATTCCTGAAGAACTCAATCACACTTCCTGTAGGAATCATGGGCACTCCATGAATATGTAGTTCTATCCACTCCATGGATGTCTACTTCTGAAGAGAAGACATGGCTAGTTTTTCTTTATTTTTCTAGCTTCAAAAGAAAACCTTCAGAGCCATTCCTTTGACTTTAAAGACTGCATGCTGATGATTCTTCAGCTCTGACCTCTCCCTTGAGTGTCAGATTACCTTCGTGACATCTCCACTCAGCTCTCTGATAGGTATCTCAAACTTAACATCCAGAATTACACCTCTTACCTCTATTCTCCCTGATGAATTCTCCATCTCAGTAAATAAGGCCTCCAGCTACCTTAAGAAAAAACTCAAGACACATCCTTATTCTTCTCTTTCCCTATCCTGTCCCCAAACATGCATATTTATCCAATCCAATTGAGGCTTCCCATTAAGCCCCATTCCTAACCATCACTGTTCACACAGCAGTCAAAAGTGCTCCTCTTAATCTGGATTTCCTAGATTTTAAGAGTTTCTTCAATGCATTCTTACTGGATTTGGGATCAAATCTAAACTTCTTACTATGGTCATCACGGTCCCATATAATCTGTCCCTACCAACCTATCCAGTCTTATCACAGACCACACTCTCCGCACTCAGCAGGCTCCAGCCACTCTCCAGCTCCCAGGCCTCTGAATACCAGGTTCCTTCTGCCTGGAACAAACCTACCATTACTTTTCACTTGGCTCATTCCTTCGTATCCATAAGATCTCACCTTAGATGAATTCTGTAAAGAGGCCTTATATAAAGTAGCTTCCCCCAGTTATTCTCCATTTGTATTCTTTCTGGCACTTATCTCAGTGTTTGTTTTGTTTATTTATTTATTTTTTATTATTTGCCTCCCAACTGGAACATAAGTCTTTAAGAATAGGGACCACATCTATCTTGTTCACCACTTTTTCTACAGAGATTAGTGCACAGTAAGTTTCCACTCAATGTCTGCTGGAAGAATAAATGAATGCACTATTGACAGCTTACCTTATCCTTTACCAAACGGTAACAAGCTGGACATTCCTGGCAGCCAGGCCAAGACCGATTGTAGAAATAGTTTTCTTCACACTGGTCACAGCGATTTCCCACAAAGCCTTCTCTGCATTCACAGCGACCATCGTCTTTGCACTGAAGTGAAAGAGACCCCTCGGGATGACAGTCACAGGCTGCAGAATAAGGAGAAAATAATACATAATTAGCAAAAGAAGGAAGAGTATATCTCTTAATTCAGACTGGCAACAACAAGCTGACTATACTATTGTTATAATTTTCTGAAAAACAGGACTATTTATGAGATATTAAATGGCTAAGTCTGTTTAGCAGAGAAAACTGACAGTTTTTAAAGTCAAAATGAGCTTTAAAGGAAAACGTGCAACCTTTGGGACACACTTCAGGTTACTTAGTAATTAGAGAAGTTATGAAAGTCTCAGTGCTCTTTTCATGCACTTCAAGAATTCATCTCTACCTTCGATTCTCCACTGTTTAATATTTCTCTAAGGAATTAGAAAACCCAAATGCTAATGCTTCTTTTGCATTATCTTATAGTTTGTTTATTCACTGTGTTCTCTGAACTGAGTCAATTACTTATGCTACATTCCACAGGAGAAATGAAGGAATTCAGAAAGCAAAAGCCAATCTGTTCTGAGGCCCAATTCCAGGCAAGTGTTTATGCCAAAGAGAAGCAGATGTTTATACGTAATCATACCAAAAGGGCCCCAAGGGTGGGAAGCAACTACAGCCAGTAAGTCAACAAACATATCGTGAACAGAATCCTCCACTATTTCATTATCTGCACTAAGAATGCAATCAATAAAGAAGTTTTGTTAACCACAGTGGGAAAGCTCAGTAACCAAAGGAAGACTTCCTTGGAAAAAATAAAAGATTGGAAAAAGGAAGAATCAGAAATGTTATAAAAGAAAACATACAAAGAAACCAGAGAAGGCTTTGATCTGCAGAGTTTTACAAATGGATAATATTCATCAAATAAAGCATCTACGATGACTTAGGTACAGCCCTGACTATGAGCCAAGTGGCTAGACGGAGGCTGTCAAAGTCTTTTCTGGCCTTAAGACACTAACTGGAATTAGGGGAGGCTTAGAGTTGTATGCCACCAACACCCCTTACGTTTGCAGCCTTCAGGTCCAAACCCAAAGTGGTTGACCTCACAGCGCTCACAGTGCTGACCGGTGATGCCAGGCTGGCACTCACACTGGCCGGTGCGGATGTCACACTGCCCATTGGTGGAGCCCAAGGCATGGCAGTCACACCTGAAAATGAACACAGGACATTTCTCAGGCCAAAAAAAAAAGACTTTAAGCAAAACCTTTTTTTTTTTTTTTTTTTTAGTATAGCACTGATCTTGTATCAGAAAACTGAATGGTAAGCGTTACTAAGATGGAATGTTAAGGGTTATTAAGCCCCTAAGGTTCAAGTAATTTTCATGAGTGGTATTCAGAACTTCTTTTCCTAACTTAACTGCTACCAGTGTTCTCCAACCTGGGACTGTATGGACACTAAGTAACAACTTTGAAAACAGAAGTTCCCAGGCTGCAACCCTGGAGGGTCTGATTCTAAGTGCCTCAGAAAGGACCTGGCAATTTGTACTTTTAAAAGGTTGTTCAGGTGATTCTGGCACAGCTGGGGCCACTGTGCTCCACTCCTTTCTTTCAATAGCTTTATTACAATTCTCCAGCATTGCCCCTGAAGGATGCCTTGCCTACATTAGGCACTCCAGGAATTTCTGAACAGTCAACTATTAAATGTAACTTATAAAAATTCATTTTTTAGAACAGAAAAAGCAAAGATTACTTCCACCAAAGGCACCTATGTCTCACCTCTCACAGCCTTGCCCACTCTGCAGGTTGTAGAATCCAGGGTCGCAAGCACCACAGTCCCGGCCAGTCACGTGAGGCAAACATTCACATTGCCCCGTCACGGGGTTACAGTTGCTCTGCTGCTTCACTGTCCCATATGGATTGCAATTGCAGGCTAAGGCAGGAAGACAGAGATGGCAAAAGACACAAATCACCTGAGAGAAATACTAAAATATAAACAATCCAAAGAGATTCTTTAGACTTGTGTTGCCAGGTTGGTAGCTGCTGGTCACATGTGGCTACTGAGCACTTTAAATGTGGCTGGCTGGTCTGAATTGAGATGTGCTATAAATGTGAGATACGCAATGGATTTTCAAGGTTTAGCATGAGAAAGAATATGCATTAATAATTTTTATTGATTACAATAAGAAATAATATGTTACATATATTAAATAAAATACATTAGTATTCATTTCACCTGTTTCTTTTTACGGGACCACAGGTGTCAGACGCCATGACTGTCCTTTTTATACTTTTTTAATGTGGTGACTAGAAAATTCTCAATGACAAAAGCAGTTCACAATGTATTTCTATTGGGCTAAACAACTATACGTATTTTAAGAGACACACAAGAATTCTCACAATAAAGGGACATTTAACTGTGACAGAATCTGGTTAAAGGCTGATTACCTTTGCATTTGTCTGCTGGATTGGGAGCCAGGGGATTTCCAAAAAATCCGTCTTTGCACCGGTCACAATAGAAGCCAGCAGTATTATAGATGCACTTCAGGCATTCTCCTGTCAAGCGATTGCAATTTCCAACTGCGTTGGGATCAATGTTGTCATTGCACTGGCACAGGCGGCAAAGTCTCACAGGGCCGTTTCTACCTAGGGGGTCTCCAAAGTAGCCATCATCACAGAGCTCACATCTCTTACCTGGGGATGAGACAATCTGATGTTATGAGAAAGAAAAGCCTTAGACGTTTTTGGTGCTAGATTACCACTGGCTACAGGTAGTCCAGTGTAATCATCACATGAGAGAAGACATGGTGCAACGGAGGGCAAAGGACCTGGGCTGCAGCCCTGGCATGGGACCAGACTACCAGAGTGACCTTGAGCACATCTCTATTTCCTCACTAGAAAGGAAGCACCTGGTCTGCCTACTTCACTTCAACTGTTGTGACAATCAACCCAAATCATCTATTAAAACTGCTCTGTAAATGAGTTAAGCCCAAGGTTTATAAACCTCTCCAGTCTTAAAGGATAGTACATTCGTATATGTTGTTTTGGCAGATGATATTAAAAGCGGTGAAGTGCCACTCTTGACACCATAGGTTTCCCACACAACAGGGTGAGCAGAACCATTCTCTTAAAATGTAACAGGCATGTGCTAATCCTTGTTAATCAGTACCAATTGGTACAAAATCAGGGTATGTTAGAAGAGAACTTAGAAATCATCAGTTGCTGCCTGCTTGTATTAAATATTATAGCTCAAGGAAGAGAGAGGATAAGTAATTTGCCTGCAACCAAAGAACTGACAGGTAGAGAGGGAGAGCTAGAATCCAGGGCTCTTTCCACTGTCCTAAATTCACCGCTCCTCATCCTTCCTTTTCCACTTACCTACCATGATTAGTTCAAGTTGGGCTCATGATATCTTTGTAATCAGTAGGGCCTGAATTAGCCTAAAATTTCTGGTGAATCCGAGGTTTATTAATTCATTCAACAAGTATTTTCTGAGCTCTACTACATAACAGCCAGCACTGTTCTAGGTCATTAGGATGATGTGAACAAGGTGGATAAGGTCTCTGCTCTCATGAAGCTTATGCAGCGGTTGGTGAAGACCAATACATAGACACACAGATAAACAAGATTACTTCAGATAGGGATACGCATAAAAAAATTTAAACAAAATAGAGCAACATGATGGGGTGAAGGTGAGGGCTACTTTATACCGGTGGGTAGGGAAAACTTCTGTAAGAAGACGACGTTGGGATAGCAATGGAAAGACAGAGAAGAGACCAGCCAGGATATTATCCAAGGGAAGAAAGTTTCAGACAAAACAAGATAAGCCATGGAAGCAGTTCAAACCCATGTAGGAGCATGGAGGTCAGAGTAAGTAAGGGATTTGGTTTTAGTGTATTAAGAAGCTACTGGAGGGTTTAAAAGTGGTGTAATGTGAGGTACATTTTTAAAGGACCATTTTGGCTTCCATGTGGAGATTGGATCCACTGTAGGGGAGCAGGTGAAGCAGGGAGAACAATTAGGCAATCCCAGGTGAGAGATAACAGGTTTGAACCAGGGTAGTGACAGTGGAAGTGGTGAAAAGTGGTCAGATCTGAGATAAAATCAGTAAGATTTGCTGACTGTTTCTAGGACTTGAAAGGAAGATGAATCAAGTATAAGCCCTGAGGTTTCAGCTTGAGCAACTAGGCTAATGGCAGCATATTTACTAAGATGAACAAGATTGGAGGAGAAACAAAGGGTTGAAGAAAAGGGAGGAAATCAAATATTTAACTTGGATTTGTTTAAATTTGAGTTCCTTAGGCTATGTGAATCAAGATCACAGCAGAAAATGGCTGATACAATCAAATCAGCACGGAGTGTGGGGAAACTGCGAGGAGAGTGTAGCACTTGAGACAGGCTCCATACCCTGGGCCTCAGGTGGTGGGTGGAACAGCTAGCAGAACCTAAAGGTGAAAAGAGCTGTTTGGACAAGGTCTGCCAGGAGCTGAGAACTTTGATTTGAGGTCATCAATCCAGAGAACCCCATAGAGAAGGAGCCACGGGATAAATACTCTGTCCTCACCCTCTTCCTTCTCTGTGAGCTCCCGTATGTGCTTCCTGCTGTCTGAATGCAGATGGAGCCTGGCATTTGATGCAGTGCATGCAGTTCTCAATCAGGGTGGAGAAAGGTGAACAGGGATGTGGAAAGGCAAGTGGAAGGCTTCTAGCCCACCACCCTAGTGGAAATGGCAAGTAGGTAGCTCAGGAGAGGTGTCAGGGCTGGAAATACAAACTTAGCTATCATATAGAAAGACTTTTGAAGTCTAAAGACGAGATTTGATCACCTAAAGGGGAGATGGTAGATCAAGGTGACATGAAAGCCCTTGGTTGAGAGATGGAGACAATGAGGGGATACCCAAAAGAGAGATGGAAGGAAACAAGGAGAGTGAGCCTCAGTTTCCTATTAGGAAAACCATAACCACTGAAACTGAACCAAACACAAAGATCCAAAACAACCCCGAAGCCCCTTTCCCCAAGGTCTTTTCATAGAATGGAACACTGAAAGCAGATAGAGCGAGCAGACTTACCAGTGGTGCCAGTAGGACAGTTGGTGCACACCACCTCTTTTGTCTTGGGGACAACAGCACAACTTGAGCCTCCGGGACACGGACAGGGCTGGCAATCAGAGGAGGTTCCCGCAGTTGAATCTCCATAGTACCCATCACTGCACTTCTCACAGTGCGGGCCAGCCGTATTGTCTCTGCAGTTACAAACACCTATTCGGAGGGCAGGTGTGAGAAAACAGGCAAGTGTACAAGTATATAAGACAATGAGCACTTTCTACCCAACTGCTAAAGAGAAGTTAGGTCTAAGAGCTGCCAAAGATCATCTCACCTGTCTCAGGATCACAGGTCTCGCTGTGTCCATTGCAGGTGCAAAGCACACATGGACTGTATGGTCCAAGACTAGGAGTTTCTCTTCTGTAACCTGAAAGGCACATCTCACAAAACTGCCCTCCATATCCCACAGGACAGGTGCAGGACTCCACCCAAGTTGCAGGGACTCCAGGCCCAGGACGAGCACTTGCCAGGGTGACATCATCCAAATATCCAGCACCTGTGTATGGTGAGGAAAAGAAAATCACCAAACTGGCTTGTTTTCCACACCTTGTGTAAACTCAGTAACACTAAAAAGTAACTAGACCCCAAATTCCAGAGAAAATCAGGCATTAGCTTAACTGGGCTCTGATACACTAAACAAGATATCCATGTCTATCCCCTGGAGAAGAGAATTACAAAACAGCATTTAGAAAAATCATGTGGTACTGAGTGCTAAGTATCTGGAGTAGTGGTATAACAAACTTTTATTTTATTTATTAATTTGTTCATTTATTTATTTATTTATTGAGATGGAGTCTCACTCCGTCTCCCAGGCTGGAGTGCAGTGGTGTGATCTTGGCTCACTGCAACCTCCGTCTCCTGGGTCTCCTGGGTTCAAGCAATTCTCCTGTCTCAGCCTCTTGAGTAGCTGGGATTACAGGCATGTCACCATGCCCGGCTAATTTTTGTATTTTTTTTTTTTTTTAGCAGAGATGGGGTTTCACCATGTTGGCCAGGCTGGTCTCGAACTCCTGACCTTAGGTGATCAGCCTACTTCGGCCTCCCAAAGTGCTGGGATTACAGGCATGAGCCACTATGCCCGGCCCAAACTTTTACATTTTTTAAAACACACACACATACCCTTAGATTTGCTGAATTTTACAGTCCCCACCTATGTGAAAAATGAAAAGCATTAGACAATCATTTGAAGTGAGAAGAGATATGAGCAAGAGTGTGGGGGAAAAAAGAGTTTACATCTATAGCCATTAAGCAGTGTTTTCATTCTTTTGCTACAAAAGCAGGCACTAACTACAGAATTCAAGGATAAGACAGACGGGAAAACACCTGTCAACAGGTAATACTCAGGTTATATAATTTCTGTCCTCCGTAAAACAGCCCAAAAAACCCCAAAAAACAAAAAACAAAAACTCTCAAGTAAAGTTCTAATACTCAGGGTTACTTCTTACAAGTATACAACTACTCCAAAGCCCAATGCTTTTCCATTTCTATAAGAAACCAGAGGAAACCTTATATTGCATTAGACCAATGGTTCATCCAATCCAGTGGTGCCCCTGATACAAGCATCACTAGGAACATTTTATCAGAGACGTAGAGGCCTCAGTAACATCATCATATTTCCCTGTCATCTCCATTCTACTCTAGGGTTTTGCAGTCTTATGCTTAAAGCGTATTTTTCATGTTATGAAATAGCACTTGCTGTTTATAAAATTCATTTGAAAATTGACCACCTAAGGCTGAAGGACACCTCCATTACTACCCTAAACGTACTACTTTAGTATGTTTACGGGTTTCTCTTGCCTAGTTAGGTCATGAGATATGACTTTATGGTTTACTGTGCTTCCCATTCTAAACATCTTTAAATCTCCCCATTCTAAAAATACTCTTTCATCGATCTTGTCCCTACTCCCAAATTATAGTCCATATCTTTTCCTCATAGCCAAACTTCTTAACAGAACATTCTGTATTTTACTTCCTCAACTTCAAATTACTTTTTAAAGCACTGTGATCTTTCAGTTTCATACCCTCCCCTCATTGATTGATTGATTGATTGAGATAGATCCACTCTGTAAACTCAGGCTGGTATGCAATGACATGATCACAGCTCACTGCAGGCTCAACCTCTTGGGCTCATGCATCCCCCTGCCCTCAGCCTCCAAGGTAGCTAGGACCACAGGTGTGTGCCACCACGACCAGCTAATTTTTTTGATTTATAGAGACAGAATCTTGCTATGTTGCCCAGGCTGGTCTTGAACACCTAGCCTCAAGCAATCCTCCTGCCTCAGCCTCCCAAAGTGCTGGAATGATAGGCGTGAACCACCACGCCTGGACAGTTTTAACACTTCCTAAAAACAAAAACTCAGCAATGATTAAGGAATCACCCAATCCAAAACCCAATGATGCTTCCTAAACTTGTTAATTGTTTCTCTTTCTTAAAATTCTTTTTCTCCCTTGGGTTTTATTTATTTATTTTTTTGAGACAGGGTCACACCCCATTGGCCAGGCTGGAGTGCAGTGACACAATTACTGCCCACTGCAGCCTCGACCTCCTGAGCGCACGTGATCCTCTCACCTCAGCCTCCTGAGAAGCTGGTACTACAGGCGTGCACCACCATACTCTGCTAATTTTTTGTACCTTTTAGTAGAGATGGGGTTTCGCCATGTTGCCCCTGGGTCTTAGAGCACGGACCTTAACTGTTTCCAGGATTCCATCCTTCTTTCCCATCTATATTTTCTGTCATCTTTCCAAGTTTAAAAAGTATTGCCCATATGTTGACAACCTTCTAAATCTGGATCTCTAGTCCTAATCTCTTCCTAAGCCCCAGATTCATATTTCTAACTACTTATAAGCCATTTTTATCTGGATATTCACGCAGGCTTCTCAAAAATCAACACATCTAAGCTGCAGATGCCTCTCCCAATATCACATCATCACTAACTCCACCTCCCCAAATAGCTGTACCTTGCTAGAAGAAAAAGGTCCTTGCTTAAAACATTTTTTTAGGAAAAAAAATTTTGGCCAGGTGCAGGGGCTCATGCTTGTAATCCCAGCACTTTTGGAGGTCGAGGCGGGGGAATCACTTGAGGTCAGGAGTTTTGAGACCAGCCTGGCTAACATGGTGAAACCCCATCTCTACTAAAAATACAAAAATTAGCCGGGTGTGGTGGGGCATGCCTGTAATTCCAGCTACTTGGGAGGCTGAGCAGGAGAATCGCTTGAACCGGGAGGCGGAAGTTGCAGTGAGCCAAGATCATGCCATTGCACCCCAGCCTGGGTGACAGAGCAAGACTCCGTCAAAAAAAAAAAAAAAAAATTTTAAGTCTTAAACTCTTGTTCACCTAAAATTATAACAAAATCATTCAATAATTTATGACTTTTAATAATTTAACCAATGGCTCAAATTATAAATTACACAACAGTAAATAAAAAGAAATGAAGATGAGGCAACTTGAGCCAGTAGAATTATAATTAGAATTTTTTTTTTTTTTTCTAAGACAGATTCTCATTCTGTCGCCCAGGCTGGAATGCAGTGGCATGAGCTCAGCTCACTGCAACACTGCCTCCCGGGTTTCAGCAATTCTCATCCCTCAGTCACCCAAGTAGCTGGGATTATAGGCTTTCGTCACCCCACCTGGCTAAGTTTTGCATTTTTAATAGAGATGGGGTTTCACCATGTTGCCCAGGCTGGTCTCAAACTCCTGGCCTCAAGTTATCTGCTCACCTCAGCCTCCCAAAGTGCTGGGATTACAGGTGTAAGTAACTGCGCCTGGCCTATAATTAGGTTTTTTAGAAAATCTATTCATATACAATGTAACCTCAATTGACCTACTGATCAACTGAGTAATCAACTAGTAAATAATACTATTTACTAATTTTACCAAATTTTTTCCAGGTCCTTGAAAGCAGTTATATATAATTCATGTATAACGTGGTTGTTATACACTTCTCAGTGTTATACATTAGGAAAGAGAAACTTTTGCATTACCACGAATCTTTCTACCCCATCATCTTTTTAAACAACTCTCCTAAGTTATATCATAACTTACTTCTCTCACTGTATGTCCCACGGATCTTGATAGAGGTCAAGTTGTTTAGGAGCTTCTGAAATTCAAAAGGGGTAAGAGCAGGTCTCCAAGGGTAATCCGTTGCTTCATGGAGCCTGGAGAGAAAGAAAGGGCCACATTAACCTCTGTAAGGATAATTCTGGATGTTGGGGAAATATTTCTTATTCATTTATGCCACCAACAATGCAATGCTCTGACAATCAAATCAAACAAAAAATGAGACTATTGATTTGGTAGTACAATTGGAAAAGATAAAGGTAAACAAAGGAAGGCTCCCTTTTACAAAATCACCACAATAACCCAGAAGGTTTTCTTTAAAATATATCTAGAGGCCAGTTAAACTTAAATGAAGACACCACTTTCACAATGCTAGTCAAGTCTCATTTTACAAAGAAGGCTATCTTACCTGAAGACATACTTCACAGTGGTCTCACTTGGATAGGAATTGCCCTGAGCGATCAAGGGCACAGATACTCTTAAGCCAGCTCCCTCAAGCACAAGGTCTTCTGCAGAGAGGCGAGTATCTCGCCTGTCCACTCGAAAGGAGAAGGAGAGGTTCTGACCATAACTCAACACCTGCTTGCCCAAGAACTTTGCTGGAATGCAGACACAATGGTGGGCAAGAATGTGAGACTGAGATCAAACAGAGGCACACAGCAAGTCAGACTGCTTTCTAGCCTTACTTACCAGGAGCAATGAAGTACCTAGGAAAGTAGCTGTCTGAGATCACGGCAATATCTTGCCTCTCAGAGGACCATTCGAGAGATGCTTCAGAGCCATCTCTCTGTTCCACACGCCACCCATCCTCATCTGCAGGTAGAGAAGGAAAACACAAGCACTTTACACTGTAAACATCCTGAATTCAGGTCCTCTATGTACCATAAAAATGTGTAAGACCACACCTTATATACAGAAAGGCATCAATAAACCTTTTTAAATAAATGGATCCTACAACAGTACCTATATATGCTATACCACTCAAACTATATTTTACTTTATTACTATTTACATAACATTTGCAATCACTATTCATTGAGATAAATTCTAAAGCCAAAAGTACATTTTCATTAAATTAAAAGGCCAAACTATAAAAACTATGCATGCTAAATAATACAAAGTGTTGCCAACCATCAAAAAGCCCTCAAAGAGTTACTGATTGTATTTTTAAAAATATTTTAAGTGTAGTCTCACAGCTCTAACAGGTTGGGGGATGAGGTCTAAATTACCAATCTGAAAGGTAGAGGAGATAGAATAAACACTGTAGCCAACAGCATTTGTACAGACAGAAGAATGCCCAAAGCAGAAGCAGGGTGTGCAACCCCTAGGATTAGACGATTCCAGATTAAAAAATCCAGGTTTGCATCTGAAAAAGATTAAGACACACTCGGTTACTTTTTTTTACTTGAACTATGGTAACAGAGAAAACACAATGCAGCCGGAGAAAGAATGCACTACCTTTCACAATTGAAGCCTTCGACATTGTCCTTGCAAACACATCTTCCTGTTTCAACATTACATTCATCTATGCTGCCAGAGGGATCACAAGAGCATGGCCTATTCAATGAAAAATGGATAAAACAATCAGAGAAGGGAGAAAAATTCTATTCTTAAAGTCAACCCTTTCTTTCTTTGAGACAGTTTTTTTTTTTTGAGACAGAGTCTCACACTGTCGCCCAGGCTGGAGTGCAGTGGCGCCATCTCAGCTCATTGCAACCTCCACCTCCAGGATTCAAGCGAATCTCCTACCTCAGCCTCCCGAGTAGCTGGGACTACAGGTGCACGCCACCACACCCAGCTAATTTTTGTATTTTAAGTAGAGACAGGGTTTCACAATGTTGGCCAGGATGGTCTCGATCTCTTGACCTCGTGATCCGCCCACCTCGGCTTCCCAAAGTGCTGGGATTACAGGCGTGAGCCACTGGCGCCCAGCCAACAGACTTTTTATTTTAAAAGAAATACACATAGAACAAAATGGATCCTAAAGTCTTTTTTTTTTTTTTTTTTTTTTTTTGAGACAGAATCTCGCCCTGTCACCCAGACTGGAATGCAGTGACGAGATCTCAGTTCACTGCAAGCTCAGCCTCCCAGGTTCATGCCATTCTCCTGCCTCAGCCTCCTGAGTAGCTGGGACTATAAGCACCTGCCACTATGCCCGGCTAATTTGTTTTGTATTTTTAGTAGAGACGGGGTTTCACCATGATCTCGATCTCCTGTCCTTGTGATCCGCCCGCCTCGGCCTCCCAAAGTGCTGGGATTACAGGAGTGAGCCTAAAGTCATTTTTATATTGGTTTCAGTCTAAGATAGTCATCCCATTAAAACTCTGCTTACTCTCTGTACAAGCCAAACCCCTGTGGCTCACCATTACAGCTAGTCCTGTCTTGCTGACAATTATTATGGGAAAAATATTTACCCTGCTGCCAATAAGCCACAAGATCTATTAATATGTGTTGACTACATATAGATTCTGCCCCCTTCTTCTGGCTTTGAAAATATTTTACCTGCATCCTGCCTCAGTGAGAGAATGGAATCCAGGCTGGCAACGGTCACATTTGTCCCCCATTACTCCTGGCTTACAGCTGCATCTGCCGTAACTATCACACTGTGTGCTTAGAGAGCCTAAAATGTAAAGTGCCTATTGTCAAACAAAAATTCAGCCAGATACGTAAGTAAAATCAATGTGTTAAAGAAAGATAACCGGTAATTAAAAGCAATGCCTGAGAACCAGTGTGCAATCTCCTGATGGTCACAAAGAGAATAAAAACCAAATTTTAAATCAGAACTTTCTCAAAATCATGCCCCTTTAAGCCATGGGATTTTAAGTTTCTAGACACACACTAAAATGAATTTACTCATCAATGTTGAAAATCACTTTGTACCCAATGAAACACTACACACATGACCAGTTACTTCTCTGTGGACGATCACAGCCCCTTAGGGCCCATGTCTAGAATTTAAGTATTTATAGGGCTAAATTACAAAAGTAAAGGTCAAACTCTTGAAGAAAATGGGCTAGACTAAGAATGCTGTGCATCTCTGTACACACACCAACATGCTAAGAATAGTTTAGCACTCTAAGGAGATTAGACTAAACAAAATCATTAACAAGGAAGAACTCACAAAGCAGTTAACCTTTTACAGTCAAAGTTCAAATTGTCTCTACGATCCTGTTGGTAATTATTTACAGAACCATTACTCAGACCACCACCCCCCTCTTACACACCAGAAACTCATCTGAAAGTTCAACTTGGTTAAAAAAGGTGGAGGTGTAGGGTACAGACAGACTCATTTCTGTGTTACAATATTGTACACAATTCCACACTTAGTTGTGCAAATGCCTTGGAAACAAAGCTTTCCTTTCTGGGGGTCCACAGAACTATCATTTTGTCTTTCAATCCATCTTCCTGTCACTTACCCACAGGACTACAGTGGCATGGAGAGCAGGCTTCATTGTTTCCAAGGCGGAAGAAGTTCTCCCGGCACCTCTCACAGTGGGCGCCATCTGTGTTATCCTGGCAGTTGGTACAGTGACCCCCATGGCCAGTAGAACGATAGAGTTCAGGGTCAAAGTAGCATTCCTGGGATCGACCGTTGCAGTCACAGGCTGTCAATCAAAACACATGAGTTACATCAGATCTGGGTACCTTTAAGAACAGCATTTTAAGACTTAAAACCAAACATAATTTCCCACATCTCTGAGACAGACAGACGGTGGTAGACTAAGAATGACTACCAGATGCACTGTTTATCAACAACAACAAGAAGGCCAGGTGCAGTGGCTCATGCCTATAATCCCAGCACTTCGGAAGGCTGAGGCAGGCAGATCACCTGAGGTCAGGAGTTCGAGACCAGCCTGGCCAACATGGTGAAACCCTGTCTCTACTAAAAATACAAAAAATTAGCCAGGTGTGGTAGCAGGTGCCTGTAATCCCAGCTACTCGGGAGGCTGAGGCAAGAGAACCGCTTGAGCCTGAGAGGCAGAGGTTGCAGTGAGCTGAGATCACGCCACTGGGCAGCAGGCTGGGCGGCAGGCTGGGCGACAAGAGCTAAAACTCCGTCTCAAAAACAAACAAAAAACCACCACCAACAAAACCCAACAGTATGTCAATAAAGGGTATATATAGCCAGAAGATAAAGAAATGTTCCTCCCTCTAAAAAATAGCACCATCATAAATTACAAGGAGTTCCCATACTTAGAAAAGAAACTGCCTCCAGGTAATTGTTCATATACAAGTAAAAGTCAAGTCAAATTGCAATTCTCCTGAATCTTTAGCCTTTATTCTAGTATCAACTCCAAAAACAAGGTGGCATTTTATATGCAGGCTTCAATTTACCCTTAACTTTTTAGGCCTCAGATGAGTCAAATACATTAAGACACTAACTTCCAAAGTGCCAGATTATTTATATATCTAGACTGGGGTAACTTGAGACATATGGGTTAAAATTAGTGCCACGACAGATGAAAGCAGAATTAAAAAGAAATCTAGATCCTCCAGAAACATCCGTGTACAGGGAAGCCTCAACTCCAAATGGGTGATCTGTTAAGTAGCTATATTCCCTGAAGGGCACAACCATATTTTAAGACCAAGTATCTGCAGTCACAGAAATTCCTTAACATATTTACAATAAAAAGATTTTTTTCTGAGTTATTGATTCTTCCCTAAATGTAGACAGTATCTTGAAGTTATAAAATAAATAACTTACTATAATATAAAATAACAGTAATAAAAAGAAGTTTTATTTGGTTTCAAATCGAACAGGATATTGTTGTTTTAAAAAAAATTTGAATATATCTTTTTTTGAATACATTTTTCTTTTTTAACGCAGACTTCTTCCAACCAAAATCATGAACACATTTTGATTTGTTTTTTGGAGACAGGGTCTCACTCTGGAGTGCAGTGGTGTCACCATAACTCATTGCAGCCTCAAATTCCTGAGCTCAAGTGATCCTCCTCCTGCTTTAGCCTCCCAAGTAGCTGGGACTACAGATGTGTGCCACTATACTCAGCTAATTTTTAAAAAATTTTTTGTAGAGACAAGGTCTTGCTATGTTGCTCAGGCTGGTCCCAAACTCCCAGGCTCAACTGATTCTCCTGCCTCATCCTGCCACGTAGCTGGGAGTACAGGCACATGCCACCATGCCTGGCTAATTATTTTATTTTATGTTTTATTTTTGCAGAGACAGGGTTTTACTATATTGCCCAGGTTGGTCCCGAATGAGTCTCCCACCTTAGTCTCCCAAAGTGCTGGGACTGCAAGTGTGAGTCACCATACCCGGCCCCTTTTGTTCTTTTTCTCTCTTCCTTATGATCAGTTATTTATAGCACAGTATTATAATTGTAAACTTCTTTAGAAACTTGAGTTATTGCCACCAAAAAATCTGAGTTTTGTTAAGTTAGTTTTAAAGGGCCCTTTTCCTTCTTCATTAGCTATTTCTCTTCCCTCAAGATGCCCTAGTTTATCCCTCAATCCACCAAGCCCAGCCCACCTAAAGATCTGATGTTGTGAGACGGTGAAGCGGAATAACACCCCTGTCCACACCGTCCCAACCCACAGCTAAAGCAAATGCCATGGCTCCCTCCTTGAGAGAAGGTAGTTCTCTTCCCTAGCCCTAGCATCCTGACAATAATGTAGTATTGTCACGACATCCAGAAATGTCACTCTTTGAAGTGTCACAGTGCTGAGGGGACTAACGAGAAAAGCAAATTGACTTAGTTCCTCATCAAAGTCCTTTAGCTACAGTACTCAGTTCGTTTGCTAGAGGTGAATTGGCAATGTTTGCTTTTTTAAGTAACTTCCTGGATAGACTCAAAATACGACATTATTAAGCAGAATGCTTTTCAAGCACACGTCCATTTATTTAAATGCCACATCTTAGGAGTATTTCATTCTTGTACCAGCCTTTATTGTATAGCTTCCAACACTGAATATTACAGTTCAGTAATAGAATTAAAGAAGCTCAAGCAAGTGCTTACAAGTGTTAGAGGAGGCTGTAAATTTTACTTGCAAATCTTAGGATTTGTTGAAAAGACTCAGCAGTTCATTGGAAATAGTCATGAGTTAAGATAGTGGTCCCTTCTCGGGGTTTCTGCAAATAATTTTTTTGTTTGTTTGTTTTTGTTTTTTGAAATGGAGTCTCGCTCTGTTGCCCAGGCTAGAGTGCAGTGGTGCAATCTTGGCTCACTGCAACCTCCGCCTCCCGAGTTCAAGCAATTCTCCTGCCTCAGCTTCCCAAGTGAGTAGCTGTGATTACAGGCATGTGCCACCACGCCTGGCTAATTTTTGTATTTTTAGTAGAGGCAGGGTTTCACCATGTTGGCCAGGCTGGTCTCGAACTCCTGACCTCAGGTGATCCAACCCCATCGGCCTCCCAAAGTGCAGAGATAACAGGCGTGAGCCACCATTCCCAGTCTCTGCCAATAATTTCTGCAAGTTAAGAGTATCTTCTTTCTTATTCTCTTTATTCTTAAAAGAACATGATAAAGATTATTTGTAAGGACATAAGAAAATTATTGCTGCTTTAAAATCATGATTAAAAGGTTCCCTTCTCCTGAGCTTTCTCTATCTGTTCAGAATAAACCACGATATTGTGAAGGGACAAACAATGTTTTCAGTTTTTTCACTTTACCTTTTTCTAGGAATACTAGGACCTATTCTTCTTCCCAAAGTTACCCACCTCTCCATCGGAGGAGTGGGAAAATTCTCCCTGTTGTACTCTTTAGTGAGATAAAGAAAAAAATAGTTTTGCGAAATAATCTTGTGCAGCCAGGCGCAGTGGCTCCCACCTGTAATCCCAGCACTTTAGGAGGCTGAGGCAGGTGGATCACCTGAGTGAGGTCAGGAGTTCGAGACCAGCCTGGCCAACATGGTGAAACCCTGTCTTACTAAAAACACAAAAATTAGCTGGGCATGGTGGCACGCACCTGTAATCCCAGCTACTTGGGATGCTGCGGCAGGACAATCGCTTGACCCTGGGAGGCGGAGGTTGCGGTGAGTTGAGATCACTCACTCCAGCCTAGGTGACAGAGTGAGACTCAGTATCAAAAAAATAATAATAATAAAATAATCTTGGAATGGCCATCTTAGCCTAGAACTCATTATATTTGATACATGTTAATTACCTTGGCTGCCTGAGCATTGATAAAAATAATACTATTTTAAAGGGGAACAAAGAAGACTAGAGAAACCATATTCTGCAGTAGAGTACACTGGCCCAGTATTTGCATCTAAATAAATTTCTAAACCTTGCAGATGCTCCTCCAACTCTGGGACGTGCGTTCATGAAGGAAACACAAACCCCTCAGTTTGCCTTTACAGTGAATTGCCCTCATCTATGACTTTCCTCTGACTTGAATACTACTCAAATTACAGAAAAAGCATGGCCTTTCAGAGCTTTCCTTTGAAGGAGGAATAAAAGGAAGTCACCCATTCCTTCTTCCACCCTTGGAAGTCCTCAAGACAATCGACAGACTGACGCCATGGGGCACTCACGCAGGCATTCACTGGCACTTTCCGCAGTTGCCCTCCTCCATGGCCGGTCATTGAAGAAAGGAAGACACTTTTCACAGTCTACTCCATATGTGTTATGTTTGCAGTTACACACCAGCTTATCAAATTCATTCTTCATACACTCGCTTGCGTGTCCATTACATTTACATCTGGGGAGAGAAGAGACACTCCAAAAAATGGAATGGCTGCAAAGTCCCAGACATGCACACAGAAAAACTATGTACCCAAAGAAGTAAGTTTTACCATTCAAAAGCATAAACTGAGGAACTGAGCAAGATTAAGTAATGGCTGTCTGAATTTTCAAGGATGAAAAAAAATTAAACAAGGTAGCTTTACTTAACAGGGGTAGGGATTAACCAGACATGAAAAGAAAGTCCCTAACAATTTCTGAGGATATCTGAGGATCAATTCCTAAAGTCAAACCTGTGTATCAAGAGGCAGCAAAATGTAGTGGTTCAGAAAAGCATGGACTCTGAGGCCAGGCTGCCTGGGTTTGAAACCCTTCCCCATCACTTACCAGTGTGACTTAGCTTCTGTGCCTCGCCTGTAAAACAGGGATGATGATAATGTCTATTTCATAAGGTTAACGAGAAGATCAAGGAGTGCTTTATTTACGTGCTCAGGATTGCACAACCACAAAATAACTCGATGAACATCAGCAATTATTCGCCATAATGATTTTAAAGTATTCTGACCTAAAGGTGGTGAGACACATTAGATACCTCACCCCCATATGGATGTCTGGTAGTCAGACTAATATCCCCTGAGGTTGTTTGGAGCAAGAATCCCTGAAGGATTCCCTAGATGCAAGTATGATAACAAACTAAGGACTCATGGAAATTCCCATCAATACTAATGTGCACCGTGGAGTAGTAATGTTTCCCTCACTTGCTTCCTTAATGACAGTGATCAGTCTCATAGCTTCAACTACCATTCACTGATACACTAAAACACTTCAGGATCATTGACAGTGTGGCAGGACGAGTCCCAAACTTAGATCTCCAGCTTTCATTTTCTCTCAAGCTCTTATCCTTGACTGCTGCACAAACTTTGATGTCCCCCATGACCTGAAATTTTACATATGTATAACCAAACTCATCAGTGTAGCTCATCTTTATTTTGTTAATAGTACCAACCATTCTTCTGATCACTAAACCTTAAAATTAAAAAAGCACCTTTGACTGAAGTCCTGGTTCAAATAAAATGCATCTATATGTTCCTTTCCATTCTGTTGCCACCAGCTTGTCATGTATTTGTTGCCTAACCCAGCATCATAACATGAATATAAATTCCCTCAATTGTACACTACTTCTACCCTGTCTGCACATTAATTCTCCTGGCCCACTGTTTTCTTATCAGAGTCTTACTCCAAATATTCTGCCTGATTTCTCATTGGGTACAGTTCCCATCAACTTACACTAAGCACCAATCCCATATCAGAAACAATGTAAGCAAAAGTAAGTTTTCTGCTCTTGGGATCTCATGGTCTAACACAGGGGAGGTAAGTCCAAGATTCTTCACCTGCTATTTACGGTCTCTGGCCACCAAACTATCTTTCTGGTTTACAACTCTACAGATTCATAAGAGATTTTCCTTCAGTTAAATGGGTTTATACTCTCCTATCTCTAAACTTCTGCTTATGACATGTCCATCCTCTTGCATCCAACCAAGGCATCCTCCCCTTCCTTATCCAAAGCTTTCAAGACCCAGCTCAGATGCCATCTGCTTCTCTAGCCTGGCAGTTTTGAATCATTCTTGATATGTGGCATCTATTCTACTGCTGCTTTATCTATTTTTAAAAAACAGGTGACCACCAGTATTTCAGTTTTCACATATTCATACATCTCCTACCCTGTTCATTTGTAAGATCCGAGGTCAGGACTTCTCAGTAGGATAAGGTGAGTCTTACCCTTCCTCAAGTGCTTCACAGTGCCTTTGTACTTAAATTGTCAATAAGAATTCATTAAGTGTGTGGACTTGACAAGGTTTTGGAAAACCTACATGCTTAGTTTCCGGAACGAGATCTGACAGTGAAAATATCCTAGGCTGCTGTCTGTCTTTCTAGCTAAGCATTATCACACAGGAAGGACTGCCGCTCCTATTCTTGGTAGAGAAAACATCTAACAACGGTATTAACACAGTTGTAAACAAGTTGCCAGATTCACCTCTATGAAAAGCTCTAAACACTTTCAAGACTAATTTAATAGTTTACTTACCTGCCACCCACAGCAAAATCAGAGATCGCATAATAATAGGACTTGAGAACTTTGGGATCGTTAAACACTTCATCTCCAAAAGTATTCAGGCGATTAAGAGTTACTCTGATGTCAGTGGCAGTTACCCATTCCTGTCAGGAAGCAAAAATAGAAACACAGAAGAGAAGTGGAGGGACTGAAAATGATATAAACATGACAAAATGTTCTCAATCACTAACTTATCATTTAGCTTACGCCCTCTTCTAGCACTCAATCTATTATAATACTCAATGACTTCTTTAATTTTCTAATATTTTTCTCCTTCTTGACTCTTCCGTTCTTCGATTTGTTACTGTACTACTCAGAGTCTCAAAACACAAGGATAATAACACATTTCTTTGCAAGGCTGCTGAGAGGCTTAAAATATAATGTGCAGCATACATTAGGGACTCAATACACATGCCCCTTCCCTCCATCCTGCATCCACACCCCAAATACAGTCAGGGATACCAACTCAGAGCTCATGGAGTACCACACTTGGATCAGAGATGCTGGTCATTGCCTGCCTCTGCCCATGTTATAGCATCTATTCCTCCCTGCCAACCCAAACCACTACTGACAGATCTGAGGGAGATGCCCAAGTACTTGCTAATAAATCATTACATAGGCTTGAACCAATAGGATGTTGCCTGTGTTTGTCTTGACCCTCCCCACAATATCACCTTCTCTCTGAGGCCTTCCCTGGCCACCTTATCTAACATTGCTAACCCTCCCCAACTTCCTATTTCCCACTCTCACTTTATTTACATTGTCTTTTTTCACACACACCCTACCCTTCCCACCACACTGTAAGTAGTACCATGAGGGCAGGAAACTTCTGTTTTGTCCACTGCAATTTCTCTAGCATGCAGTAGGTATGCAAACTATTATTTGCTATGTGAATGAATGAATTTGAAGAAACCACAACTTATCAAGTTGGTAGGTATACCATAATGGCAGGGGACAAGAATGGGGGCTGTAGAGTTTTTCCCTAGGTTTTATGAGATCTAAGCCCTTACACTGAGCTAATTTTAGGCAGATATTTACATGTGTGGTAGAATGCTATGCTAATGATCCCAGTGAATAATGTCTGCTAGGGCCCACACCCAGTGCAGTCTCTTTCTATGCTGACTCTAGGCTTGGGTGTGTGACTGGTTTCAGCCGCGGGTACATTAACAAATGTGACATAAGCAGAGGCTTGATAAGTACTTGTGCACAGGGACTCACCCTCCCAGATCACTTCCACTGTGGTGTAAATCCTGGTCTAGCCTCCTGATAATAGAAGACCACAGGGAGACAGAGACCTAGGCCCCAGCTGACCTGTCAGGTGAAGTGACCCAGGCTAACACAGAATCATGAGAAATCATAAATCACAGTTATCTAAAACCATTAGGTTTTGGGGTGGTGTATTACATATAACCACTCAAAGATAGCATTTCCATTTTAAGTCCTTCCTAGGGACTGCACAACAAAATCACCTTTGGAGACGTTACAACCAAGTACAGAGGTACAGACATCTATGTTTTCAGAAAGCTCCAGGTGAGTCTGGGAGGCACAGCCTTGATTTGGAACCACTGCCTTAAGCCACACCAAATACCTGGCATACAGAACAACATGGAGAGCTCATAAAAGCTAATCTCCACAAAGCCTTCAAGTATAATTAGAAAGGAGAAGAGACGATGATTTCACCATATCCAAACTTGGAACTCCAATAACAACTCCTACTCACAGCCACAACAGTAGGAATATTTTAGTCGTCTGTAATGTAAATAGCTAAACATATCTCTGTGTTTAGTGCTTATTATATCTTCTACAGGCTTCAACCTTATCACAGCTCTCTTTGAATAAGAGCTTCTCAAAAATCTAAGCCATTTTTCTTCCTAATGGGCATCTTTAAAGAACAGACCCTGGAGCTAGACCTTGCAGGTTCTGAATCCCAGTTCTGCCACTTAAACTGTGTGATTTGAGGCAAGTTACGTCCTTTCTGGGCCTCTGATTCCTCACCCGTAAAATGGAGACAATAAAATTATCTACCTTACAGAGTTACTGTGAAGGTTAACTGAGGTAGAAAATCAAAAGGCTTAGAACAGTGCTTGTCACATTATAGTATGCTACAGTAAGTGTTTCAATAAATGTAAATTATTATCATAAATCGATACATGCTTAGTAATACTTATAATATGGTGAAACCAAGAAGGGTCTCCTTCCCCATCTGGGAGATTACAGCTTCTGCAGGGAGGTTCAGGGAACAATGAAGACAGGGAGAGAGGTGGGAGTTCCCTCTCATTGTCAGATCAGTTAAAAGTCAAATTAGCTCAACTTCTTTGGCAACTGGATATCAGAGACAGAGCTCTGACATCCAGAGACACATAATTAATGTTACTCCATAATGAAGCAGACTGACCATGTCTATGCAGATGCCCATAGCAATTTTTTTTTAATGCCAGGTCATAACCCATAGCATTTTTACCACACATAGTCTCATCACCTCTTATAGTTTCACTAGTTTCTATGGCATAAAGAGCAACAAACATCACAATTCCTACAGTTGGGGAAATGGCTCAAGATAGGCAGAGCAGGTGTACAGTTAGCAAAGGTGCCAGAAAACCACAGTTACAACTTTGTATTACTGCATTTTCCTACTGACTACACTGTTCTTTCTATTGTTGCCTCATCAGGACAGGAAAATGCAATAATTTGCTGTAGGAAAGAAAGAAGTCTGGCAAATGCTTGCTAACTGATCAACTTAAAGAGTATTTGTAAGGTCACCTCTCCACTGGGCATTCAGTCTTCTGCTTTTTCTTTTCCTCCTTCTTCTTCTTTTTTTTTTTTGAGATGGAGTCTCACTCTGTTGCCCAGGCTGGAGTGCAGTAGCATGATCTCTGCTCACTGCAACCTCTACCTCCCGGGTTCAAGTGATTCTCCTACCTCAGCCTCCAGGGTAGCTGGGATTACAGGCACCTACCACCATGCCTGGCTAACTTTTTTTGTGTGTTTTTAGTAGAGAGAGGGTTTCACCATGTTGGTCAGGTAGGTTTTGAACACCTGACCTCAAGTGATCCACCTGCCTCGGCCTCCCAAAGTGCTGGGATTACAGGCATGAGCCACTGTGCCTGGCCCTGCTTTTTCATCTGTCAAAATCAGCGATCCTCTCTGCCATTTATTTTGAACACAACTTATCTCCATCGCAAGAAACACTTTTTTGCAAGGCCTTGGCAAGAACACTCATTGCTCACTATAACCTCAGAGTTTACCAACAGCTTTCACATTCATGCTCTCCCAGCAACTTATAGAAACACAATGGAAGGGGGGAAACTAGACCTACAGAAAAATATATTCTTATCTGTCCAAAACCATACAATTAGAAAGAGAGTCCCTGAACATAATAATGGAGAGAAAGAATAAGAAGATCCAAATTAGAAACCCTAGAAAAATGGGGTATTTCCCACTGAGAAATCACAACAGCTTTTCATATAATGTACACAGCATTTGAAAACCCATGATCAGACTATCTTGTTTCAGTCAACTGATATAGGCTATCCCCATGTGGCTGCTGACTTCAGCCACATGCAGCAGCATCTCCAATTCTGTGTTAAAGTACTGAGTACAGCATGAGGCTCATCAGCTTTTCCATCATCAAATAGCCAGGACATATGAAAAGTTCACAGAAATCTGAGCAACACAGAAGAATTCCGTATTATGGTGTATAAGGAATATGCATGTAGAATTCATGAGGAAAAATAAATCCTTCTCAAACAGGGAAATGTTTCTATCACAGTGTTTAAGTACAATGCTATGGGTATCTAAATTAATATCCTGTTACTAACATCCATCATTTTAGGTGATGAGGAGTTTCTTTAATGATAGGTAGTGGTGCCAGACAAACCTAACCAAGATTTTCCTGTGTAAAAATGTATAAATATCTTGCTTCAACTGTTTCCCTTTGCTAATTTTAAAAAATACTTTTTATTTTGTCAATCAAAAAATAGATAAGAAAAGATTCAAGAAATCTGGGTAATTAGGTCAAATGTTCTCTTCAAAAGGTCAGAAGGAAAATGTTTCCACCTCAGATACAGAGACTACCGTTAAATTTGTTTGACTTTTTAAAAAATGTGTAAAGTTTACATCCTAGAATAGACCTGCAAGTGCAAAAGAACAAACATCAACCAGGCAGCAGGAACAAAACTACTTTCCTTTACTTATTAATAGTACACGGAGTGCAGAATCAAGCTCTCTGTCTGTGTTGCTCAAGTATTCTACTCTGACCTCGTATCTCAGAAGTGGGACCACAGGCCCTGCTACAGTAATCTTCCCACACCTCACGTTATAGAACTAGCTGGCTTCAGGCCAACCTGTGAGAACTTACCTGCAGCACAGGGCTATTGTCAAAGTTATAGGCACTTGGCCTTCCTTCCAGGGTAGAAAAGGCCACGTTGCCCCCAGTGAGGGGAGAAATGTCACTGAATTCATCAGTACACAAGGCCTGCTGCTCGTCCCCTCCTGTCCTGATGAAGCCGCGGTTTGCCTTGGAGTAGGTGTTCTCGCAGGAACCACTGTAGTACTGGTAAGGAATCCAGGGCCCATCTTCCCGCGTGCGCTTGTAAATAGCAAAGCTCTCTGGGCGGCTGGTGTGGAACTTGAGACGCACATAGGTGATGTCAAAAGCTTTTCCTGTGGGACAAACACATCAAAGGTAGTAAGTCATATGTATGAAGCAAAGAAATGCCCTATATTCCCAGCTTACTTTGGAACTTGACAAAGGATACAAATCACCTTGTACACATTAAACCAAGAAGACAGGCTATTCCAAAACAGAAAACTACATATTTCCCCACAAAATGACAAATGGCAGTTGAGTCCATAAATTGGCTCCTGTCGTAAGGTGCATTGTGGAAATTTTGTGTGCAATGAAAACTGGCGGCATATGTTAGTACTGTACTTATACTATTAATTAAAACTAAAATTGAATTAAAAGCACATTTATTTTTAATGCTAGTACTTCAGTAAAAGCTTAATTAAAAGATACAAAAGCAAATATATGCTGACTTTCTAAATGGGTCTCCAGACCCTTTAAGACTTTAAAAAAACCTTATTCTCTATTAACTGTAATGCTACTCTTGATGCAGGAAGAATATCATCAGCACTATTCTTCTACTTATCTACCAGGTTAAGATATAGACATTTGAAGAAGGGAGGACAGTGTTTGAGAGACGTAGCAGGGAGTAGAATAAGAAAGAAGAATAAAAAATTCCTTCAGTAGATGAACAATGAAATGGGGGAAAAAAAGAGGAAGGGAGAAAGGAGGTTTAAAGAGGTTGTTTGAATATGTTCAAAAGAGAATATATGAGAAATGAGCTCTGAGCAGAGAGGAAGACAGCAGTCACTGGGGCAGACAGTTCACTGCAAAAACCAGAGTGTGGTCTTATGGTCAGGATGGCTTGGTTGCCAGCCAGTGTGTCTTCACATGGGTAAAAGAAACAAACACCATTCATTCACACATTGGGTCCTGCTATCTCTAACAATATCTATACTTTGCTACTTCTATGTTATAGTGAAGATCCCAGTTTGGTCAACAAGAACTTGTTGGGCACAAAATCTATGCTCAGCTCTATGCTATATCCATCAGGGAACGGAATGTGTTAGACACAGGGATCCTTGTACTCGAGGAGCTTACAGTTTTTTTCCTCCCTAAGCCAATTCAAGAACCATCCTAACCCTCTCCTACAAAACCCACAGAACAGCAACTTCTGTGCTCTCAGAAGTGTTGAGGAGAGACTTCTGCCACTTTCAGTTCCTCATACCCACTAGTCCCTGAGAGACAAGGAGCGATTCCTCACGTGTGGCCTGGACCCCGCTACGTCTCTCTCTGGCTGTTGACTGGAGTCCCCCTCTCTCCTCTCCTGCACTCAGTGCAATACAGTGCAGCTTTGCCTCTGTGTGGGGTGGGGCCTGCTGCTATCCTGTTGCTGGATCTGGGACTAAGTGGGTGTGGTCAATTCAGGGAGGAAAAGAGCAGAAAGCCTATGCAAGCTATGTGTCCAGCCCACATTCTTCAACTGAGCATTCTCTATAATAATACTGACAGGAAGAGCCATATCTGACTATTTCTCAACTGGCCCAGATCTTAGAGGAGGCTGGATTAACTGTCCCCCACATACATGAAACATACTTGCACACACCTTAGCTTCAACACAAAGCCATGTGGCATGACAGAAAGAACACAGGACTGGGCATTTTGAGACCTGAGTTCAGAGTCTGCCTCCCTCCTTCACTAACCATGATTTCTGCTCTGCCATTTTCTCTTTGTAAAAATGATGACAATCCCTGCCCCACCTACTTCAAGAGTTGCTGGAAGGTCAAAGTAAGATCTACACATACTTGACTAATTGTAAAATTCGATACAAATATAAGGCATTATCACAATAGGGTTTATAAAGAACATTCCTGAACTGGGATTCTGAATATGTTCACACAAAAGGACCTGACTGTTCCTGGTACAGTTACCAAAGGATATTATACAAACGTGAATATTCTATCTAGGATGCAGTGCATTTTGCCTAGACAGAGGTCACACAAAATACAGTTTACACACTTCCTGTTAAAAGAATGCAAGTTTTACCTGTATCTCTTTATTGTGTCAAAAATGTCAAGACATCACCTTTGAATGAGGGCGAGGTTATAGTACAGTATCTGTGGCATTCCAGAGACTCACTAAGACATTCCAGAATGGTTAAAGTAATTTTACTCATGAGTAAGTGGCCTGGATTGTTCAAAGGCTCACTCACTAGTCTGTAGATTACAGATTATCCTTGCTTCTCTATTTTCTATCTTTCTGATATCTCATTGTTCTTTAGCAACCCAAAGGCAACTGACTGAGCCAAAGGAGAGAAGGTAAAATCAATCAAGGCATCCTGTGTTCCAACCAACATCTGTACTACAAAGCCATACTCTGAAAGAACCAGGCATATATCTCTTGCTGCAGGCATAGACGCAGAGCCACAAGTAGCAAAATGTCCAGAAAGCAACTATGCTAGCATTAAACTCTGATGCAGTCTACTTGCAGGCGCTGGCCTGGCCGTGCTGGCACTGAGCTTCATTTGCAGGGCTACCTTTCTCATGACAACCTACAGCCACAGCTGGAAATGAGGGAGCTCTGTGGCAGTGTGTATGGAGGCTCACATACCTCCAGGACAAGAGAGCCACGTGCACTGTCCTCAGAGTTGCAGCAACCCAACAGCGCATACAGACAACTGCAATTTACAAATCATCATGAGATGATTCCATGACAGAGGAAGTGCATCATGTTTCGAAAGCATGGAGAAGATCATCTAACCCAGATTCACAAGTTCAAGAAATGCTTCCTAGAGGAAGAGGCATCTAAATCCAAGACATGAGGAATGCTTAGAATGAGCTAAGCAAACAGGGACCCATCGTCCAGGCACATGAAATGGCATGTATGAAAGCCCAGAGAACACAGAGGAGTGATCACTGGAGGAATTAGAGTTGTCTAGGGTAGCTAGAACTAGAAAGTGGCTGGAGATGAGGCAAACAAGAAGCAGAGCACGCCAGGCTACGGTCATGTTTAAGGAGCAACTTTACCTTAAAGGTAATGGCCAGCCACTGAAAGCATTAAACCAGAAAATACATGATCAGGCTTGATTTTTAGAAAGATTAGTGTGGAGATTAGGTTGGAAGGGACAAGAACGAAGATGGGGAGGTCAAGATGTGGCAGTAATCCAGGAAAGATGACAGAGGCTAAAGAATGGGAACAGAGGAATGGAGAGAAATGAATGGACCTGAGTGAGGTGTAGGAAGCCGTTTTCAATAGTAACTTAGTAACTGATGCACTACAAGGCGATAGGGAGCTGCTTTTGAAGGCCTCCTCTACTTGTCACTGTCAGTACCCTGTTTCACTGTCAACGTTGCTTTTTCCCATTCCATGAGGTGGAAGGATTAAGAATAACATTCAGTTTTCTAGTTTAAAATGAACCAAGTGGAGGGCAGTACTATTCACTGAATAGAGAATAGAGAAGAGTGGGCAGGACTGGAGGCAGGCGCAGGGGCAGGATGGGAAGATGAATTCAGTTTCAGATACACTAGTTTGGGGATGCCTGCAGGTCATGTAGATGAGGAAATGTCTGTAGGGAGCTGGATGTGAGCAGTTTGACAGGTCAAGAGAGATATCTGAGTTAGAAACAGAAACTTGGGACTCACTAGTATGTAGATGGACACTGGAGACTTGAGTACAGTTGAAGCCCATGGAGTGTGTTGTGTGAAAGCTGACTTCTGAGACCACCCTAAGGTGCACAAACGTTCACAGCACACACAGAGGAAGATGACAGAGGAGGCTATGAAGGGCCAGCCAGAGGGAAGAAGGCAAGTAAAAGAATAAAAATGTCACAGAAGCCAAGGAAAGACAGTTTCGAGGAGGGAGAAATCAACGGGGTTCAAATATGCTAGTAGTGTCAAGTAAGATACTGACTAAGAAGTATCCAACAGCTTCAAGCCACACAGGTCGCAGGTGCACCAAAAGCAGTTCCAGGGACAGGATGGCAGTGGTTGGAATTGAGAATGGGCCGGGTGTGGTGGCTCACGCCTGTAATCCCAGCACTTTGTGAGGTTGAGGCAGGCGGATCACTTGAGGTCAGGAGTTCGAGACTAGCCTGGCCAACATGGTGAAACCCCATCTCTACTAAAAATTCAAAAAATTAGTCGGGTGTGGTGGTGTGCGCCTATAATCCCAGCTACTCAGGAGGATGAGGTGGGAGAATCGCTGGAACCCGGGAGGCGGAGGTTGCAGTGCGCCGAGATCACGACACTGCACTCCAGCCTAGGCAACAGAGCGAGACTCCCTTTCAAAAAAAAAAAAAAGGAATTATTCAGAATGGACAGCAGGCAGACACAGTGAGTGTAGTTAATCTACCATGTGGTCCGAATAAAGAAGAGGAGAAGCAGGGGAAGATGATATTTGGAAGGGTTACAGGGCCAAGGAAAGACTTATCTTTTTTTCTTTCTTATTTTCTGATAGTAGAGATGAACGTGTATTAAACACTGTTGTACTTGAGTCAGCAGAGAGGGAAAGGTGAAAAACAGAAGCTGGAAAACAAGAACGGGATTCCATGTTTGTTGGGAGATTGGTTCTCTACAGAAGGAAACCTGCCTCTTTGCTCTCTGTCTGGGTACATATGCAAAGTGACTTTGCAGGTTTTAAGGGACAGAAGTTGAAATTCGAGTTCTACCGATGACTTTTTTTCTGTGTAGCGAAAAATCAAGGATACCTGCTAACGACTGGCGGCAAAGTCAGGGAGTAACGTTCGGTGTGGAATATTTGAACAGAGTGTAGCCTGTAAAGTCATATCCCTTCCATAAACAAAAAACTCAAGGGCAGATGTTTAGAATGAAGCACACAAAATTAACCAACACTTCCTGCTCTGGGTCCTACAGTTCATGCTGGCTGAGGGAATGAGAGGAGGGGAACAGGCCGCATCAACGAGAATCCAGCCTTTGTTCATGTAGGACCAAGCCAAGGAATTCTGCTTAATAGCCACTGTGAAGTCCAGCAAAGATAGCTGACTAGAAAAAAGAAGGCTTACTGGGCAGAGACCAGGTGGCTAAAAAGACAGCAGAAGGCCATGCCTTTGTATGAACATCTCTGTGGAGGTGTGATTTCC